ATAAAATTGGCACCCTACCCGCAGACAAAGTGGAACCAAGCCGCAACTGCGCCAAGACCTTTCCACCTACAGCCACAGTTGCTGGTTTCATCTATGCTATTTCGCAAATCTATGTGTAGATATTATGTAAAAACAAACACATTCATTCAGATAATACACACTTATATATTATATATACATAGACATACATGAATATGTAGGTGTTGCGAAATTGATAGAGCATATTAAGTGCAAATAAGTGTACAAAATGGAAGGTACTTTACTTAATAAAAGCAAATTCATTTTGCCTAGCGCCCTCCCCACTGCAAAAACAACAATTTGAACAACATGAAAACGTCTGTATATACTGACTGACATTTTTGCGGACATATTTTTGGATATCTATCCGGATGCAGTTTTGTTTTCCAGTCTGGGACACTTTTCCTTGCTATTTGCTACACTTTGGAGCAAACAACTGTACTTTGCTGAATTTTGGAGCTAAAATTTGCCATTTGCACTGTTCATTATTTTTTCCATGGTTTTACTCGATTTTTCCGTGTTCATTGATTTCATCGATTGTTCCATAGTTTTCATTAAAATTTCCATGGTTACAATCGATTTTTCCATGGTTTCAATCGATTTTTCCTTGCATAACATGCGCCTGGTGAACATGTAGAATATACTATAGGTTGAAGCACAACCCTGTTGGATCTAAATAGTGGCATTGGATTCTATCATAGTGTTGGTGGGTTTAGGGTTTAGTTATAGTAAGCTTGGTTTAGGGTTGGTTTAAGGCTTATTTAGGGTTTATTCAGGGATATTTAGAGTTGGTTTAGGGTTTATTTAATTTAGGGTTGGTTTAGGGTTTATTTAGGGTTATTTAGGGTTGGTTTAGGGTTGGTTCAGGGTTTATTTAGGGTTATTGAGGGTTGGCTTAGATTTATTTAGGGTTGGTTTAGGGTTTATTTGGGGTTGGTATATGGTTGGTTTAGGGTCATTTAGGTTTGGTTTAGTGTTTATTCAGCGTTATTTAGGGTTGGTTTAGGGTTTATTTAGGGTTGGGTTAGGGTTTATTTAGGGTTGGTTATGTCGGGTTGCTTTAGGGTTTCCCTAGGTTGGTTCAAGGTTTATTCAAGGTTTATGTAGGGTTGGTTTAGGGTTTATTTAGGGTTATTTAGGGTTGATTTAGGATTTATTTAAAGTCTGTTGAGGGTTGGGTTAAGGTACATGTAGGGATACAAGGGGTGTGTGTGTATATAACAATAGATATATAGGTAGGTAGGTAGGTAGGCAGGTAGATAGATAGATAGATAGATAGATAGGCAAAGCATGGTAAAACCACAAAAGCCACACACCAACAAAAGCCACAAAGCCAGGCTGGAAAACAAAAAAACCAAACGAAAATAATCCAAAAAAAAATGGCCCTCCCATCTATCCTGTCACATATTCTGACATTTGTACTGGCATATCTTCTGACATATTTTCTGACATACCTTCTGGCAATTCTTATGAAATATCTTTTAACAGTCAATACTAGGGTAAAATATGTTGACACCAACATTTTTTTGGATCTGACAAAACTTAAGAGACACAAGACACAAACACTGGCATGGTATGTTGTGACATTGGCTGTGGCGAATTTCGACATAGATTCCACTGTCCACGCTGGGACCGCCCCGAACACGAGGGGCCAAATAGAATGCAGAATGGCTGGAATGTCTGAATATGTGTCAGATAAAATCTCGGATAGAATGTTCTTAAAAATGCCAGAATATATGCAGGATATATGCATATTTTTTCTATCAAATAAGTAGAAGGTCAGAGACGATGTCAGATAGATGTCAGATAGAATGTCAGCTGGCAGGGATCACTCGAAGACAGGTAATTTTCATCTATCAAACAAACGAACAACATATTAATATTCAGTTTGACACTGTGTTGCTACGACACTTCTATGCAGTCACCAACATAATGCAAAACATGCTCAAACCATTCATCAACGGAACCTGAGAAGACCTAGCAATTTTCTACTATTTTGACACCATGTTGAGACCTGAAACGCCATACGCGGGCTCGGCTCGTTGTCCCCCCTTTTCCTGCAGGCTCGCAATCTGCGGCTCGCCAGATCCGGTATGTCGAAATATTTATTGATGTTTACATATTTTGATTATGATCGTATATAGATTGAATGCCAGGGTAAAATGTCGGATTCTATAGCTCAGATCCAATATCAGAATATATGTCAGATAATATGTCAGACAACAGACAGAGAATACCAGACAAAAGAGACACAATGTCAGCCAAAATGCCAGTTGGTATCAGTTGGTGGGTGTCACGCGAGGTAAAGCAATTCTGTTCATTCTTGTGATCTGATGGGTAAATAACAATGACTTCTGCTCGCAGCCGAGGTACTTCCACAAACATGGCCCCCAACTCGACACTTTGCCATCTTCACATAGGCTTCAATATCCCTGAGCAGTGAAGGTCTGGTGTTTAATTCAGCAAATGTTGAACCATCCCCTGCAGAATTGGAGAGTCATTGAGGCCCCAATATCCTGTTTACTCAACAGGAATCTATGATGGAAACCAAAGTAACTTGCCTGCACAATAATGGGGCCATGCTCCCAGATAGATTCAAATGCGCTAAGATTCTTATGATATATTAGTAGTATGTATGTAGTATGTATAGTATGGGTCAACAACTGGAAGTGGCATGGTGAAAGCACTTGGCCTGTTTAGTGGAACGATTGGCCCTCCAGGCAGCACCATCCCGGTTGGCGCGGTGTCTTGCACACCGCCGCTAACAGTTGCAATGTATATATTACTGTATGTATTACTGTATATATTACTGTATATCTACCTACCTACCTACCTACCTACCTATCTATCTATCTACCTATCTACCTATCTACCTATCTACCTATCTACCTATCTACCTATCTACCTATCTACCTATCTACCTATCTACCTATCTACCTATCTATCTATCTACCTATCTACCTATCTACCTATCTCTACCTATCTACCTATCTCTATCCTATAATCGATCTATCTATCTATAATCTATCTAATCTATCTAATCTATCTAATCTATCTAATCTATCTAATCTATCTAATCTATCTAATCTATCTAATCTATCTAATCTATCTAATCTATCTAATCTATCTAATCTATCTATTCTATCTAATCTATCTATTCTATCTATCTATCTATCTATCTATCTATCTTATCTATCTATCTATCTGTCTATGGCATATCATAATATGGCATATCATATGGCATTATATGGGTGGTTATGGTGGGGATCATTCCCAAGTTTCGGACAAGCACACGTCATCCCAAATCCGCTATGTTTATGAGTAATATTCCGATTTTTAATGGCTATTTTTGTTTTTTTAAAGTTAAATCCGCATTTTGACTGGCTAAACATCCTTGATTCTTCAAGAACAAACCGATGAGGCACTTGATCCGCTGCGACGACATGGCCACGTCATCGTCATCTTTGCGTCTCCTTGGGCCGTTGCCCACCGTGCAGTCGAGGGATAATCCTTCCATTTTTAGAGCATCAAACATACCATGGTAATTGAACGTAATTGAGGTTCCATCTTAAAAATTGGAACCCCAAATTTCCAAAGTTCGATTCATCATTTTCACATGAAAATTCAGTGTTGGGGTATCCAGTATCCTCCATTTTTAAGTCCCCATCTACATGCAGGAAGAAGTTATCTCAGCCCCGTCCCAGTGGCCGCATCGACTTCGTCTTTTCGGTCCCGAGCTCTTTCAATAGAGCGCACTTATCTTCCTGAGGCGACCGTGAAATGATGTGCCGATGCAAACTGGACCTGCACCTGCAGCACCTACACCTATCTGCACCTGACCAGCGCCAAATCATGATGCCTCCGTGCAAGGCTACAAATGGCTTCACTCTGCGCGACATCGATATGTTGAGAAAATTTAGAACATTACCTCTGCTTCGTGGTTTTAAACGGATTTAAAGTTTAACCTATCCAAACATACTAATATAGTCATCTCATTACATGTTTGAAGAGCAATGAATAGTTGACACCACCAACCAGACCTGTGCAATTGTGTGTATGTGTGCAACAACAGAGCCAGCTGTGACCCAGCTTCCACTTGCTTCTGACAAATGGGCTCGTTGTCATCCGTCTCAGACACAAGCTTCAGGTTGAAGCCCAAATGGTGTCCTTCATTGCCAGAAGTTGCGGCCTGGAGTCGCCTTCCATGGCAGTGTTGCTACAGCTTTTGAGGCTTCAGTTGGCTCTCTAACATTAACACAATTGAACATGCTCCAAGAGGCCTCAAAATAGATTGAAGTTTGACAAACAGCAGTACTTTGTTACACAATCCTATCCCAAGAAGAATACCTTCACAGTACGCGCCCCAGAATGAATAGGGCCAGTGCTATACCAGTGCTTTCTATACCTATAGATCTTAGGGTCAAGGGATCTTTTTGTTTGACGTGACAAGAATCCACTGATTCTCTCTCAACTGCCGTCCTTGTGTTGCGACTTTCCCAGGCCTCTCCGCTGAGTTTTTGAACGCCTTGGGCGTTGTGAACATACGCATCATTGCGAGGTGCCGCAGGCCGACCACGATCCACAGTCCAGCGTGGGAACCCCGAGCCAATCTTGAGCCAAACGGGTTCGGACACCCAACGAGTTGGGTCAAACCGGGGAGAATCAAACATGGCAATGGGAAGTGGGAAGTCCCCGTTTATAGATGGTTTCCGCATGAAAACCTTAATTTATGCACAATGGTTTTCATTGCCACGTTTGATTTCCAGATTGTAAGCAGTGTTTCAAACCAGGGCTGGCTCGACCTCTTACCACATCAGTTACAGCAACAACCCTGTAACAATTCCAACCGAACAATCCCAATCGTGCAAATATGTGCAAATATGTGCAACTATGTAATTTGCTCAACTTTCAAGTATACCATTTTTGTCTATTTCTGATGGTCGCCAGGGAGCTTCTTTCGTCAACCCTGACGACTGCGGCTCCTGGGGAACCATCCAAGTGCCGCCGCAGCATGCGACTTGGGGAAGGCTCAAGTATTTCCTGACAGATGGAAACCGAAAGGGGCTTTGAATGGTAACTTATTATAATATATTAGGATATAATATGGTGTATATATATATACCCCTAAATCATCCATTGTTCATGGGATTATAGATATGATAATAGCAAACTGATACTCATCATTTTTATCTTCCATGATTTTCTGGTTTCAACCTCCCAGGTAAGATCTTGAAAGATCCCAGGTACGATGGACACCAACCCGCCATGTTTGACCTGGAAATCCCATCCATGGACTATGTTGGGAAGTTTCTGCGCTTGGACATAGAAGGTTTGGGCTTCCAAATGTCCATATTTCTCTCCGGGTCGGTGGAGCTTATTGATACTAGATGATACGAATGGCCAAACACATTATACGTATAATTAGATGGTGGCTTCAGCACATCCAAGAAACATCAGTCAACTTGCATTCACTCTGAATAAAGAAAAAACGCAACTCAGGCAAGCGTACAGCCTTGCATAATTCAAACACGTGATGACGTTTGCACAACACATAGTTGATGACATGGAGCTCGTGAGGCTTTCCATGACTTTCCTATGGTTGAAGGCAAACTCACCCCCCCCCCCAAGCAGACCCATATCATCTTCATCACCAAACACTTGACATCTGGAGTCAGACTGCTGCTTGGGAAAAAGCGAGTCAGACAGCAATGTCTGTGTTTAAAAATCCGGGACGCCCCAATACATCCCAGTATGGTAATTGAAAGAAATTCAAACAATATTGGATTAGCATATTATCATATATTATACATATTGGGAAATCATACCATTTTTAATGACATATTGGGAAGATATGTAATGCATGATGGTTCCCATATGATGGTATGACAACCATGTAACATAATATATATGTAATATCCATAATATCAACCATAGCATTTTCTGACAATCCAATGGGATTACCGCCACAATCCAATGCTTTCTCCAAGCGGCTCCAAGTTGTTCTCATTCACGCCTCCTCCGGGATGTGTCTTTTTGCGTCCATTGGTTGGACGGGACCGGGAAAACTTTGGGATATGTTGGGTATAATCTAGACGTGCTGGCCTCATACCTCGACTGAATATACATATATATATATATATATTATAATAACATATAATTTAATATATTTTAATTTAATTTGATTTAATTATATAATAAAAAATAATAAAATAATATAACATAGTATGATATACTATACTATAATATAATATAATATAATAAAACATAATATAGTATAACATAATATAATATATTATAATATAGTACAATATAATAAATATATTATAATATAATAAATATATTATAATATAATATAATATAAGATAATATAATACAATACAATATAAGAATATATTATATAAAAAAAATATATAAATATTTAATTATACAATATAAAATAATATAAAATAATATAACATAGTATGATATACTATAATATAATATAATATAACATAATATAGTATAACATAATATAATATATTATAATATAGTACAATATAATAAATATATTATAATATAACAAATATATTATAATATAATATAATATAATACAATATAATATAAGAATATATTATAATATATATATATATTATACTATTGATGTATTATAATATATATAGTATTCCAAAGTGATGATCATGTCCATTTCCGAATGTTTTTTGGTTGACCATGGTACCCTATGGCCTGATCAAACGCGGTCATCCCGTGGGTTTCTGTTCGCTTGAAAAATCCCGGTTGGCTGATGAGTATGTATATATATATATATTATGTACTGACTACATAAACTACATCTATATTATACACTATTTTTTTAAATACACTATATAAATGATATGATATATGTTATATATTATTATTAGTATTGTATATGTAGTATATTATATAAGTGTTTTATGTTTAGATCAGACCATTAATACTATATATAATATTGCTCCTGTATCTAGAAAATACAGAACTACCATTTCACACTCACCAGTTGGTTTTTCCCTATGTTTGATGCTTACCTCGTGACATGTCGTTTGGTCAATGCTCCCATATTTGTTGATGACACTATCATCCAACTCAATTTTGGTGAAATATGTTCCTCCCCAATTCTTTTCCCAGCTCAAATTTCCCATGTGTTCTTGACAAATCCATGTACCCAAGTCACCAGTGAGCCACCTTGATCACCTATATAAAGTTATCGAAAGTTAGGTGCTATCCTCATCATCTTCACCACATCCAGCTTTTTCATGGCCCAATTTCATGGCAAATCGGCCAGAATCCGCCCAGTTCTTCCCAGTCCTGTGGGCATGAAGGTCAACTTGCTATAGGGCCCACTGATGGCCTTTAAGGCCGCCACGCCACCGTTGGCCTTTCCGCGTTCCGAAGCGCAGAACTCCCTGGGAAAACACAATGGATTTGTTATGTTCATTCTATAGACATTAGACTAATTACACATGTATAGAGATGCATAGATATCATAATAGATACCATTAGACACATATATATATATATAATTATATATATATAAATGAATCATGGTAGACTTATAGATATGATATGATCTCATTCTCTACGTACATACTATCACAACATGTTGTTCTATGAGTTTGCAGACGTATCAAGATCACCGAGAGATTGATGGAAAACACATTGATCATCGATCGATCAACGGTCCCACGGCCGGAAACACTGCTTCCATCCCCGAAAAGAATCCCGTTCAACGGGCTTCCAAAGAAAAATCTACAAAGATTATCACATATTGGATGACACTTAAATAATTCTTAAATGATCTGCACCAGGGCCAACTAGCACCATATCAAGCGGGCCTCAGCGGGGAAGAACTTCAGGACGTCCAAACCAAGGCGCATGGCTTCTTCCACCTGGTCGAAGGCTTGTTTTTTGAAGGGCACTATTCAATGTTTTTTTGAAAGGCTGAGCTTGAGAGATTGCTTGTTTTCTTTGAAACAATCGGCACGATTAAGTTAGGTGTCATTCTGGGAATCTTTTTTCTATGACTATGACTATTGACTCATCAGTGCTGAATCTCTTTGTTCAAAGTAAGGATGTCCCATGTTTGGCAATGGGGCGTTCTGATCCCATGTATGGACAATCGTGACGATGGTGTATTAAAAATCATTGAACTGCATTACCGCCAGACCCCAAAATGTGTTACTGTATACGGTAAATCCTTCCTGATGAAGTAGAGCCACCTAGCAATCAAATTGCAGGAGAATGATGTGACTTAAAAAAAAGTGGTCATGCACTGAGTGCACGCTATTGGGCGGCAAATACAACCCACCCATGTCCTTTGTCCTTTGTTGGAGTTAAGCCATCCTCAAAAGCCTCCAATCTTGGGTCATATATCTCCCCTAGAGGAGTCAGTGTGGTTGATAAAATATGTAGAACGTCTGTCACCGTAAGATTAACAATATATTCACTTATATACTGTACACATGCATTCGATAGGATGGGCAAGAGCTTCTAGGATAATGAGAAACAACGCAGGATGTGGGTGTGTCAGACAGGAAAAAAACTGACAGAGACAACACAGCCTAAAAATCCAGGATATAAATAGCTGTCACCAAAAAACAGTAGATTAAGTAGATTTTTCACAACCCTTTTGTAAACAGTTCAATCGTGGGATCCCACCTGAAATCCCCTGAAATCAGCACCTCGGTGGGTGTGGCCACCCCTGGGATAACCACCACACCATTGGCTTGGCACCACTGAACCACCTCCGCCGATCCGGTTGTCATGGGGCTTGTTGCAGTTACTAAGGCCTCAAAGTGAGACCAATGTTCCAATGTTGTATGGAGATATCCAGAAATTCTGGAAAGATATTGAATCTGGATATCTCATACAATCATACAATTGACATACTGTTCCAATGTTGAATCATTGTCAATCATGGAATCTTTGGCTGCTGGGGATGATCTCAGTACTATCCAAGGTTTCTTGATATGCTGTCTCGGCAGCATTGAGATGCAAACATGAAAAAAGCTTGGAGCCCTTCCAAGAATTGGGCTATAGCAACCAAAATTGCTTAAAAAACACCGGGAATTTTAGTATGAATCATGAACGCTGGGCTTCAGTAATGTCCAGGAACTCCCTTGGAATTGAGGATGACCTTCAATGCTGGAAGGGTTTCATACATCTCAAGGTAGATCACGATGGATGCGATGGAGCGTGTCTGTAATTCTCAGACATGCCCAAATGCTTCCCTGAAGATTTATAATTGCTGCCGGATTTTCCAAATGATCAAAAGCATTGACTATTGGATACTATTGGTGGGGTTGTCAGAGGGTATACCTAACCACTCAGTTTTTACAGCGGCGAATTGCTGTTTCCGGGACTTCCTGGGGTTCCATAGATTCTCCACGGGGATCCCCCTAAGATTTGATTGTCCCACACGGTTCCTAGAATGGGGGATCCCCAAGTCACCACTAATCACGCTTAATCCATTTATTAAATTATTATCCCATTATATCATGAACTCTTTCAGAGATACTTTGTAATCATTAATCATGAATGATTATTCCCATGAATCATGAACTATTATATTCATATTATGGGATTATTCCTATTCATCATGATAATCAAAAAGGATGATTATTCCCATTATTCCCATGATTCTTTATACTCATATATACTATTTATATGGGATGAGCCACGCCAAACCGTCCCCGCCTCGGGATTCAGTCCCGGGGACACGATGAAGCAGGCCCCTGCGGCCACTGCCTGGGCACTACCATCGGCGAGATTCACCTACATGCTTCATGATTTTTGTGTATAGATGTTCATGCACATATATATATATATAAATACGTATATATATATATACACATATTATGTACAATATATGATGATGATGATGATGATGGTGATGATGGTGATGATGATGAAGATGATGATGATGGTGATGATGGTGATGATGATGAAGATGATGAAGAAGAAGAAGATGATGATGATGATGACGATGATGATGATGATGAAGATGATGAAGGTGATGAAGAAGAAGAAGATGATGATGATGACGATGATGACGATGATGATACTGATGATGATGGTGATGATGATGATGATGATGGTGGTGGTGGTGGTGGTGATGACGATGATGACGATGATGGTGATGATCAAGATGATTACGACGATGAGGATGAAGATGATGAAGAAGAATATGATGATGATGATGATGATGATGATGATGATGGTGATGGTGATGGTGATGATGGTGATGATGATGATGATGGTGATGGTGATGACGATGATGATGATGGTGATGATGACATACATCATGATTTTTTTATTGATTGTTGATTTGCATTGACTTATATAGATATTATGATATTACTAGACATGCATGATCTGGTAGTGTATGAGTTATGCAGAAATTGGGAAGACACTTTACACTGATCTAATCTGATGTATTTGGCCCACAGCAACCAACAAACGCCTTTATCTGGGGAGTGTTCTACATTCGTTCATCATTTTCCTCATTGAACTCGTCAGACATTGGGGGAAAGCACCCATGGACAAGTTGATCAAGGGATCGACTGCACCAAGAAAATCCTGCCGAAATTGGCCAAGATTCACGCTGGGCCTGTTCTGGGCTCAGGATGGTACCCGCACCCACCAGTGCTGTAGGCGCTGCCTGAAACCGTTGCGACTGATGGCCACTGGGAAATCATGACAAAAAACTGCAGAAGATACCAGAAGGCATTTCGAACCACTTCTGGGATTGCTCGCTTGAGGTTGTTTTGAGATTTGAATGATTTCTTTCTCTTGCTAGTACTTGAGAAACCCGCAATATGTATGAATGTGTTTTGAAACACCTGTCTGTCTGACAATACGGCATGGACATAACTTGGAGACTTGGAGGATGTAGACTGAAGACATCTGAAGACACCACCTTTGATCCATTTGGCCTGATTTGTCAGAGAAACAACACATATGCAGATGCACAACCATTCCACAAATGTCGGCCTTTATTCAACCCTCTACCGTATCTCCTGTCAACATATGAGTCACCTGGGATCCCGAATCATGCGCCTCCGCCATCCGCCGCAGGGCGTCTTCAGCACAGGCAGTGCGGAACACCACCTGGTTGCTAACGATACTAGTGGATTCTCATGGCAGTAAGAAGGCAAGAACAATAACATCTTTGATTTTATATCTATCTATCTGTCTGTCTGTATGTATGTATGTCTGTATGGATGTCTGTCTGTATGGTTGTATGTCTGTGTGTCTGTATATATGTATGTATGTCTGTCTGTCTGCACTGTATGTATGTATGTCTGTATGTATGTATGTATGCATGCATGTTTGTATGTATGTATGTATGCATGCATGCAGGCATGCATGCATGCATAAATATATGGATAACACATATATCGATATTATACAAGGGTATGGGTAAACAGGTAAGATCCAGGAAAAAAACAACTGGTCAGGTATATATATTTGAGTCTTTTTCGGATCCACGTGTGAGGCCAGAGGGTATCTATGGCTGCTTGGAAGCTCCATAGCAATGACCACTTTATATCCCCAGCTCCCACCTCAATTGCCATCAATCCACCCTCCACCAGCGCTTGGGCCAGGGCAGCAGCCCCGGAGGCCTCCTGGGACTTGGTATAGACTTGGTATTTCCAATGGGACAAAGGGATATCATGGGTATATATATAATTATATGTATATATATGACAAAGCCATAGTGCCATAGAAGCGGTTGGTGGTTGTCGGTTTTGAACATTTGTAATTTTTTTCTGCTCAAGCTTATTTTGAAAAGAAATCATGTTGCATTCTGCACATGACTTCAGATCTACCCTCTAGTAATTTAACATAGCTATGGGCAAATCATGGTTAGGCATGTTTGAAAAGTAAATCATGTATATATATATATATGTATACATTATAAACCTACATGGGCTATGTTTCACAACTATGTTAGTTCCATCTTACTGGTAGGTTGATAAGTATCACCATGATATGTTGCAAATGGTAACAATCCCCAATAAACCAAGTAAAAATAATTGTAGTATAACAGTACCAGCAATGACAGAGGTTTCCTGCGGATTTTCCCCTAAACCAATCCAATGACTATAGTAACTACCCTCCGGTACTCAAACAAAGAAATAATATTTTCCTACAGATAGAGATTTCTAGCTGGGAAAATCATCAATCAATGGGCATTTTCCATTGCCACATTTGATTACTGGAAGGTTTTCAAAACCAAAGTTTCATGAACATGTCCCAGGAATATACCATTCTGATCCATCATGTTCTTATCACCCATGATAGCCCAACTCTACCCCTATCCCAATTAGATTTAGATCATGACTCGTAACATGTCATCGTCCTGCATAGACACCACCGGTACCACCAAGGAGTTGCGCAGCCGCTCCATGACCTTGACGAAACGAGGGGTATCACCTGCTGAAGGTACCACAGGATCCAGAAACAAATGATATGTTGATGGTTCTTTTTTCAGATATTTTCTTAGATTTTGGTATGATTCGAGACATGTTGACAGATTTGGTCTGATTGTGTCTCATTCGTCCACTATAAACATTCAGAGTTGGTTTGGTGTGGTAAGATTTGATCCATGAGTTTGATAGATTTCAGATATGATTTGGTCCTGACAATCGTTTGCTATGATTTCGTATCAGTCTCCCATCCCAACAAGACTTGTGCAAATGGATCAAACATCACAAGATCCAAACATGTTCATTGATTTGGTCCTTTTGATTCTCAAACAGCTTCAGTACGGACATTTCGTCGTCTATGATTCTAAGCCGATGTCGAACACATAATTCTTCAGAGACCCCTGACATCTCCACTATACCTTTCTTGGATGTTCATCCAGCGATCTCAGCCGACTTTTTCTTGGGATCCTTTTCATCCCACGGTTCATCCCCCGTGTTTCCCCCTTAAAGGCGAGAACTGGTGGGCCGGAGAACGACGACTTTTAGACACATCCAAATAGCTGAGAGTGTAACGCCACCAGGTCCCCGAAAATACGTTGTTTTTGTTTTTTTTTGAATATGTTCTGTTTTTTCTACATCTTTGATCATATGAAAGATCAAAGTTCTTGGGAGATGAGATGTACTGTTTTTGGTGTGTTCATCCTTAACTCTATTGGTTGCTTGCTTTCTGTAGCTCCATTGGTTTTGATAGATGGTCTTGGTCTATATATATATACAAATATATTGTTGTTTTTTCCTCTTCCTTCCTTTTCCCCGGGGATCTTTAAGGCTCTCTGGAAATCTCTGGCAACCTCTGTGGAAGTCTAACAATATTTGGGGATCTCTAGCGATAACTTTAAAGTGGTTTCCAATGTGTTCAAGGTTCTTCATGTCGATCCTTTCAGGACATAAAGTAACATTATCTAATTAAAGGTACAGTATATCACCATAAATGATCAAACATAATGTAGTAGCAACACTGCATTCCTAAAAACGTGGAAACATGGGGACCTGACAGCGTGCCTTTCTGAAATAGCTATGCTATGGTTGGTTGCTCCCATTACATAAACCCCACGAAGATCCCATCGAGTCCGATTAAATCCCGTTAAAGCTCACGTGGCAAGACACACTGGGATCCACAGGTTTCTTCACGCTGCTCTTTTTGCTCTGCCAAAGCACCAAGCCAACACCTGGTGAAGAAACATGACGAAACTATACATATTCATCACATACCATGATCATTATGCCATTTGATGCTATAGCAATATTCGAAGGCATTCACCATTTACATTTACATACAGTATAATTATATAAATATATCAAATTATATATCAAAAAAGAGAGCAAAGAGCAAAGAGAGAGAGGGAGAGAGAGTTAGTACAAAAAGCCGCAGACACTATCATTGAATCATATGAATCATATTAATTAAGATTAATTATACTTACTCACCCCCATGTTGCTTCCCCCTCTGGCCTGCCAACGCTCCAGCAGCTGTACCAAGCGCCACCGCACCCCATGTGTTTGGGGCTGACATGGCGCCGTTTTTCTTCGACCCGGTGACCGAGCGGTTCGCGATGTGTGAAGCTAGTCCAGGCCTGGCATCTACAGATTTGGAAGATCAACTGGTTATTAATGTTAATGATTGTTAATGGCTATTACTATTATCATTTATTATTCTTATGATTAACACCTATTATCTATTTAGCCATTTTTTCATGGTTACTCATGGCGAAAAAAATGGATGAACATGTTGATTCAAAGATTTGAATATGATGTTCATCTGCCAGGTCGGCGAGCCGATCGTCAAATCCGGTTTGAGCGGATGAAACACACCTGGTGAGCAGCGACCGAACCACAACATGATAACGGTCGACAAATGGGGATTCACCCACTATATATAACACAATAATGTATATATATATATATATTACAATTATATACATATCCTCTTTATAAAAGAATATAACATTCATTACTGTATCTATGGGGATTTTCACCATATGTTCATAATATATCATAACATTGAAATGGGGATTACTAGCCCCAATAGTAATAACACATAGTGATTAATTATGATTAACGTTGATCATGATAGGCGAATAAGAACATGATAATAGTGTCGAGGCAAGAATCCGTGGTGGTTTTTGGCGACTGCTCACATGAACCACCAGTTTCATATTTACAAGGTCTGTCAGCTCAGTTTGTTCAAACTCCTCCTTATCCCTTCCCCAACATCTAACGCACTACCAGTGGTACACCTGAGCTCCAGGGCCTTGCTCGAAATTTGAGCATGAAGTTGCTCAAAATCCTCCAAGAATGTCATGGAGGTATATGGAGGTACAGTACGTCTCAGTAGACTTGCAAGATTTTTGCAAGATTTCAATGCTAAGTTAGTGAATCGTAGTGACCACCAAGGGAATGTCTGGCACCAACTTGCAGAGTCCGACCTCGAAGCTGTGCTTGCAAAGGCTCGTGAGACCAAAGGAGGTCACCTACACAACGGCGACCGTCACCAGGAATGCCATGGATGCCATGGATGCCATGTCCAAAACAATAGGGTGATCTCACAGACCCAGTCATTGACAGAGACGTTCCAAGATGATGATGATGATGATGATGATGATGATGCAACTTAGAAATTGCCAAATTCACACAAACATCGATTGAAATCGGTAGACATCGTAGATGGGACAGGATCATGTCTGAGACCCTATCTCGATCTCAAAAGACACATGGCAAAATGTTGGCACTCTGGCCACATTCAGAATGCATTGAGGAGACCCAACCCATCAACAATGGTTCTTTGCTGTTCGAATTTATTGCACCAACCCCCGCAAAAGGTGACCCCCACCTGCAGCACGTAGATAGTGTGCTTCCCTCCCAGCAAGCCACTTTCAGCCTGGAAAAGGGGTTCCGGAGAGTCCAAAACTCACTATTTCATGCTCTCTTTGAGTAGGAAATAGTAGGAACAATAGAAGATCATTTGTTCCTATTGGTTTTCCTACTATTTCCTACTATTGTTCCTACAATGTTCCGAAGGGTTCATAGTTCCTCTTGTTTTCTTCGGGGACGACCAGGGCCTTTCCCCCCCACTAAATCCGCCACGCCTCCGTCCTCGGGATGGTCACCCTTAGCTGGGACTATGGCTATGGTCGCTATGGTCCGAAAGGATATATGCCATGATTGGGTTACCCTCTGGTAAACGTTTACGCAACTGATGGGAAAATCACCATGCTATTAATGGGTAAAATCCACGAACAAAATGGTCATCTTCAATAGCAAAGTGTTTGTTTACCGGAGGGTATATCCCATTAATATCCCATTGAATCACCATAAAATCCCATTAAATCACCATTAAATGCCATTAAATCACCATTAAATGCCATTAAATCACCATTAAATGCCATTAAATCACCATTAAATGCCATTAAATCACCATCAAATGCCATTAAATCACCATTAAATGCCATTAAATCACCATTAAATGCCATTAAATCACCATTAAATGCCATTAAATCACCATTAAATGCCATTAAATCACCATTAAATGCCATTAAATCACCATTAAATGCCATTAAATCACCATTAAATGCCATTAAATCACAATTTTAGGGAAAATCTAACGGACCCCCCTGGATCTTTACGAAAACCATGGCAGCAAATGCTGAACATGGAACCCCCGCGATGGGATGATCCTATCAGGATACTATGATCAAACACAGTCCATATGACTATCTTTATATACAGTATATATATATATATGTATAGTATATATAGTATATATATATGTATATATAGTATATATATATATATCTAGATCTATAAAATATGTATATACATAGAATATGTCATATATGAAATAAAATGATTTTCACCAAAGGCTTTCTCCTTTACAGTAATCTCCCCATTGAGAACTCCCAGTCCCCAGTGGTGCGGGCCAACATCCTTTTTGCTAGGGCCAGAGGAGGCTTGTCAGGTACATATTCATACCTCGTGTGAAATCATTGCAATTGATGATAAAAATGTGAAAGAAGTTTCAACGTCGCAAGGAGCCATCGCACATCAAGAAAATCACACACCCCCTTTTGACGCTTGAAACTCTTGGACACCATAACCACCACCGTTGATCACATGGAAAAGCATCCTGGTGGGAGCATTCAGTTTGGTCAGCACATCAGCAAGCATGTTGGCAGTTTCAATCCATTTTAAAACAATATTGTTTTGACGAATATCACGACGAACTAACAACATATGAATGGCTTCCCTTTTGTTTTTCACTACAACCCCATCTCCTTCGGCATGATCGTAAATAGGTTTTGAGTCGATTAAACACATAAGAGGAATTTCTTCTCGGAAACCCTTGTCCTTGGATAGGTCATAGTCGGGATTCAGGAACTCTGCCAGTAGAGATCGGATCCACTCCCCCTAGCTAGGGACATAAGCTCTGCACCAAGGGTCGATTGTGTGTGACGTTCCTGCTTGTAGCTCCTCCATCTCAAAATGGACAACTGAGTTTGGTCACCATGAGCGATCCTTCGATCTGTGACAGCAATGACATAGCCGGCTTGACTTCTCAAGTCTTCACAGTTAGACCATGATGCATCCGTGGAAACTACGACCATACAATTCTCAAGGGGAATACTTCGAATGGTGAGCCTCAAATGGGAATGATCTTTGATCCTACCTACTAACCTGTTTGCCTCTATGAGATCGTTGACAGTGGCTTTGGAAATCCTTTGTTGTAAGAAACCCGCTTGAACAGCAATATCCGGTCTCGTACTTGACATTAACCAGTTAGCGGCCCCAATGACACCCCGAAGTTTCGTACGCTCGTTTTCAGTGACAGGGCTGTTCTTTTGTTTGCGTCGATCCTTGGTCATTTTGATCACCTGAACATTCCTACTGTACTCTTCTTGATCGCACACAATGGAGTAGTCTTCTTGCTGCACCAGGTTTCTACCCAAAAACATCCCTTGTTTCGTTTTCCAATGTTTGAAGGGATACTTCTTTTTCAACTGAGGAACCAGAACCTCATGAAACTTTTGACTCCCTCCTAACACCATGTCATCAACATGCAGCGACAAAATTCCTTGAAGACTGTTTTCATGAAACCACAAAAACACACATGGGTCCAATTCAGATTGTTTCATCCCTAATGACTGGGCTGTTTTGGAAAAACTTTCCCACCAGGCACGCGGCGCATCGCTCAAACCGTACACACACTTAACCAATTCCACAACCGCACCTTCGGGGATCCCCAAAACAATGCAGTCCTCTTTTGTCACTTCAACAAAAACACGTCCATTTTTTCGTTTCAGAGTTTCCCCTTGCAAAAAGGCACCCTCAACATCAGCGATATGCATCAGCCATTGGTTACTGGCGAGAATTTGAAGGGTAACCATCAAAGCTTCCATGGAAAGTGTAGGTGATTGTCGGTTCATCTCATAAATATCAGGGTCCCTAAACCCTTTCACACACCATCTACACTTAATCTCCGTTTTCCCTGGTTGATTGGGGTCCTCCCTACGCGTCTTCACAAACCTACTCCCCAAGAAACGTTCTTTGGGTTGTTCATCCCTTAATTTCTTGGCTTCAACCCCAGTGTGGATACGGATAGACTCAGTGTTGAGAAGTTTATCTCATTCTTTTCTTTTGCCTTTTGAAACCTCCTGCCTCTCGTCTGGAGTCAGATCTTTGTCAAAGACCTCATGGGTGTTGTTCTGAGCAAGGTGCACCTCATGTCCACCAAGAGGTTCATCATAAGGTTTCGCGTAAGGTCCAGAGGCTCGCGATGTTCCAAAATCGAGCATGTCCACACTCCTACGGAGTGCCTGAGTCAGGTCTGTGGTACGGACGGGTCCGTAGCTCCCCTCCGTCTGTTCTCCACCGATACTTGACGCAACAGGCGCGACAGGAAGAGGATTGGTTACTGCTGGTCCTGGAAGTACTGCAGCTTCTGGTTCAAGTGGTTGATCACTTGCACCATCCTCTCGTTCTGATCTTGACATGTCATCACTCTGGGGCTGCTCTGTTGTTTCCTCCTCCGTTGCCATTGAGCTTCCTCCTTGTTCACCATCTTCCTCTTCTCTTCTCTGCTCATCCTCTTGTTCCACCTCCACTTCTCTTCGTCTCTTGAGCTCTCTTTCATTCTGTGGTGGGCTTCCCTCCTGGGAAATGTCAGTGAAAACCTGAGCACCTCGCTTGCTCCCCTTCGGTACTGGCTGCAGAAGATCAGTGCTGACACACTGTATGGCCTGGACTTGGTCCTCCGTCAGATGTCGCAGTTGTTCATACGAGCAGCGAAGAACTTTGTTTCCATGTGACACCCACACTCTGGACTTGGACTCGAAGAACCCGATCACTCGAGCTGGGCCTCTCCACGTCCCCTGCTTGGATTCTTTTCCTCTTCTCCAGTAGAAGACGTAGTCCCCCACATTGAGCTCTTCTCTTCGGTCTCGAGTTCTATGGAGACAGGCTTTGCGAAGTCGTTCTTCGTCATCCAGTGCGACCATGGCACGTCGAGCTGCCTGTCTAATCTCTTGAGCCCGTTGATAACGGTCTACTCCATGTATGACCCCAGACATGAAAGGAATGCTTTCCGAGTTTTCTTCCAAAATACTTTGAGGAACCCTCAAGTCACACCCAAACACATGTTGATACGGCGAAAAACCATGTTTTCTCATCATCGAGTTCTTGCTTTCATTGACCTTGTCAAACAGCTCATTATACTCGGCTTTGGTCCTAGGAATGCACTCTTCACATGCTTTGTGAAAAACCTCTTTCCATGCTCCCCCATGTCGTTCGCACATGCCATTCTGCCACGGGCTCTCCGCGGCTGTTTTGTTGGTGTAAATCCCAAAACGGTCACACCCTTCCTGAAAATCCTCACCAAATTCGGGGCCCCCATCACTCAAAAGTCTTTTAGGACTCCCTGCCCAACGGATCCAGTGCTTCCGAAAAGCTTTGAAGGTGTTTTTCGCAGTGGCTCCTCCCCACAACGGAATAACCATTTGTAAACTCGTACCCTCACAAACAATGTTCAACATCTTGAGTTTCTTTGATTGGGGTTCAACCGCAACATCAAAAGTATCAACATTCACTTGTTCATTAAATCGCTCAGCTTTTTTCATTTTGGTAACCGGATGACTTTGGGGTGGTTTATTGGCCTCACAAACCGAACATTTGAACTCCTTGGCAATCTTCAGGGTTTTTTTCATGTGCTCCTGCCGTCTTGAGCATGTGAAGAAACCTTTCTCTTGACGGATGACCCAAATTAACATGACACCTACGAACACTTTCCAACAACCCCTCGCTTTTCCCGGACAACTGTTCAACCGCAAAAACATCATGATCATCCTTGTTTCGTTGGAGTCTCACAGCTTTCAGCAACCCTTCGACCAAAGCTCTGGGATACACTTGTGCACATCTTGACCGATTAACCCATATTCCCCCAACTCTGGTTCTCCCTTCAATGGGTTCATGTTCATGAGAATGGTCACACTTTTTCCCCAAAAACTTCCCAAAAAACTCGTTGGAGGTCATGAGCCTAGTCCCCTTTTGGTACAACCCTTGTGATTCGGGGTCCTTTAATCCAAACATACATTGATCCAACTCAACCATGTAGGGTTCCCATTTTTCAACGAAATCAACCATCACACGTTCTCCCCAACTTCTCGCTCTTTTGGGATGTTCAAAACTGTAGTGACGACCATGACTTCTTTGTTCTTCACACACCTGTAAGGCAAAACGGAGTAGCACTTCAGCCTCAACCCGCTCTCTCCGGACGACCTCCGGATCTCTTTTGTTTTCCGTCAGTTGCTGCAGCTGACTGTATGGGCCACACGGCGGACACACATGGACATGTTTTGGCCGATTTTCCCTAATCTCCTGAAGGCATGACTTCCGATGATCAGCCCGCAGAAAATTCCATCCGTTTCGGATGTCATATGATTTCCCTGATTTGAGACCACGCTGCTCGGCCAAAGGACAAATCCTAGGAACAGAAAAAACTTCACTAACATCACACTCCAAACCAACATCAACAGTACACACATCCCAGGATTCCCGTCCAGTTTCGTCCCCTCCCGTGGTGGCTTCTGGTTGCTTTGACTGAATTATCTGTACATTCCTTTGCAAATACCTCCGCACTTTCCTAGACATGACATAGTTCACTTCATGCCCTTGGAGATCATCTCCATGGCACGGGGATGGTTGGCCATTTTGGCCAGGATGCGCTGGTTGGCCGTCTCTTCGTGATCCAGAGCTCTGATAGTCATGTACTCCCAGTTCTCCTTCACCCGATTCTTGCGATCCTGCTCGTCGGCACTCGTGATGTGGTCCCAGTCCATCTCGCTCTCCTCCTCCCGGGCACGGGTCATTGCTTTCCCCCGTGTTTCCGAATTCTTCAGAGGCTTGTTCTTGACTTGGGCCTTGACATTGGGACGAATTGGCCCCTGACTCTGCCATGCCTGGTACTTGCTCTCTGCGTTGATTCGGTCCATCTTGTTCTTGTCCACAAAGGCGATGAAAATCTTGAACTGTTTCATCATGGCATGAGATTTCTCGTCGATGTGGCTCCGACACCACTTGACATAGCCTTTGTCCTCCTTGTACACTCCCCACATGGTCAGAGAGCTGGCTTTGTACTTGCCCACCGTCATGTGCTGATCCGGGTTGATTGGATTGCCCGCCAGATCGTCGGTGTTGTCTGGAAAGCCGTCCACTGTCTCGGGAGTCGCTGTGATCTGCTTCATCTGGTGCTCCTCCAACATGCGATAGATCTCGGCCGAAACCACCGCTCCCTGAGAGCTGGCCGCTGACGTCGGCGCACGGTGATAGGCCATGGTCCTGAACGGGATGTTCCTGAACAGGACAGGGTCCGGACTCACTCAGGCTATTTGAACCAAACTCCTCTAAATCACTGATGTGGTATGTTTTCTCTTTTGGCTTACCTACCGTTTCAGGTTTGAAGCATGTCGCAGAGCAGGCATCACCGTCATCCATCATCACCCCAACATCAGTCATCAACACCTCCGCTTTCCCAAAATTGAACAGCGGTATGGCGTAGTGTCCTTTTTTCGTTTCACTCAAACCCATTTCAAAACCAAACTTGGAAAAAACAGCACTGTCAGTACCCAAATTGATCACACAACCCAATTGTCTCAACAGCTCCTTGCTCAGCAGCAACGGCGTGTTCTCACCTTCTTTTGGCAGAACTGCTGCTTTGATGATGAAACGTTTGCCTCCTAAGACGGCTGGAATCAGCGCCATCATGTCTGATGTCAAAACTCCATTATTCCCAAAACGGAATTCATTGGAAACTCTCGCTTTCTGAACCTTGAGACCCTTCTTACTCAGATTGCCCTCAATCAAAGCTAGAGTTCCCGACCCTACCAAAGTCCGACGACACGCAGTGTCCGGAATGCCACACAGGCCTAAGATAGGATCGGTCTCACGGGCTCTCAGTTCTTCTTCAACACGGAAAACTTCAAAAGGTTGCTCAAGCCTCCTCTCTGGTCCGCACCCCTCATGGGACTGGTACAAGATTTGCTGGTTGCCAGTGGAGTGGGTGTCGGCATTGCCGGTGTTGAGCACGTCATTGGCCAGGTTGTGGTCCCAGCTACTTGCGCTTTCAGGTGTCTCTTCCATCATGAAGGCTTCCCACACATGCCTGGTTCTAGGATCATTTTCCTCAACGATCAGCACTTCTTTCCCTGAGGAGGTACCCGTCGAGGTAGAGGAAGTAGCCTTCAAAGGGCATTCTTTTTTCCAATGTCCATACCGATGACAATGGTGACACTTGGTTCTTTGCTTCAACTGGTCAATTCGGCCTGAAATAGACCCTGAGAACTTGAAGCCCTCATGCTTCCCCTTTCCTTTTCCGGTGTTCCCCTTCTGGAAGTACCCTCTGCCGATCTTCTGATCTTGCAGCTTCTTTCGAATCTCGGTGTAAGATTCGAAGGCCTCAAGGATGTCCTCCTCCTGCCAATCTTCTTTTGCCTGGATGTCATCAGCCAACATCTCCATGGCTTGCTGCAGCTCTTCCTCCTCGTCCAGAAACTCCTCCGTCTCTGCCTGGTACACATCCTTCACATTGGCCTTGCACATCCCTCCCTTTCGATCTGGGAAGATGGCATTCATGGCATGAAGGATAGAGGATAGCTCTAGTTTTCCTCCCGACGTGGTGAGCAGCATGCTCTCGTGCTGGGCATCCAGCTTCAGCTTCTTCATGAAGAGAAACCCCTGCACCACTTCTGGCAAGGTAACTTTTTGCTCTTCCAGCTTCCTCTGCGCTGCGGTGAACCGCGCAGAAAACTGGCGGAAGGACTCCCCCTGCTTGACCTGCAACTCATAGAAGAACCCACGCAATCCTTCTTGTAGTAGATCAATGGGTTGGGGGCTGTATTTCTCATCCATGATCTTCCATATCTTTTGGTCACCCCCTTCTGAGCATATATCTTCGACCCCCAAGTGCTCCAGCAAGGCCTCGGCCTCACCTGAAACATAGGCCATGAGTTTCGGTCCATGCTTTTCTTTTCCTATGGTGCTTGGCAGGCTTGCCAGCATGAGCTGCGCTCGCCTCTTCCACAACCTATAGCTGGTCGGGTTGCTCCCATCGAACACTTCCAACCTCGTCTTCCCATCACCATGTCCGCTCTCTTCCACCCCAGCCATGGCACCAGAACGCTAAACCCCCTAGAGCCACGCCCGAAGCCGAGCCTGGCTCCGCTACCACTGAGAACTCCCAGTCCCCAGTGGTGCGGGCCAACATCCTTTTTGCTAGGGCCAGAGGAGGCTTGTCAGGTACATATTCATACCTCGTGTGAAATCATTGCAATTGATGATAAAAATGTGAAAGAAGTTTCAACGTCGCAAGGAGCCATCGCACATCAAGAAAATCACACCCATCATAAAATGGCCTTGCCACAGTCCCGCCGCTCCGCGGGCCCCGAACGTGATCGGAAGCTCCACACCACCGGAACCATCGATCTGGGGCTTCCTGTTCCATCGGAACAATCACACGTGGCGTTGTGGGAAAATCATCTACAAATGGACTGGTTACGGTAGTTTTAACCATGTTGAACAATATTAGTCAATGGGAAGGATTATCCCATATATTATGGAAAAATAAAAAATGTTCCAAACCACCAACTAGTCTATAAATGGAGATTTTCAACTGCCAGGTTTGATTAGGTTGTTTTGTGCGTCTACAGACTCATTGCTGACTTTTGACTGAATGACTCATGATAATTCACAAGCCTGAAATGCGCTTGCCTTTTTTCGGCATGATGTTCCAAACTAATCATCATCTATGGCCGACAGGGATCACCATGTTGGTTTCCAGGGATATAAGATAGATTGCACATGCCTGTCCAATGCGTATATATACGTATATATATATATATATTTTATTATTTACGCAAATATCAGGATATAAAGATTTCTACTGTACATGTAAAAAGTCCATACATCCATGCGCTGCAAATACATGTACTTTCAAAGTGCGCATGGAGAAACATGGGTAAAACATATGACCATATGATCCTCAAAAAACCCATAAGGCACTCTCGTCCCATCTCATCCCACTCTTCAGATCCCGAAGATTTTTGCGAATGGATCAGTCATGATCAGTCAATCTATATAATCATCAATAAACAACCGCAACAATTTAAGTATGAAATATCAGAGATTATTTGTTCACGCCATTTCACGCCTATGAATATCATACACCTTGAAAAATGCTTCTCAGATTTTCCACATGTCCCAGGCATTCCCAGGCATTCCCACAACCCCAAACTTGGGAGGGGTCTCCCCAAATCGTCCTTGAGCTCCGGCTGCCACCTCAGTCCGACTTGGGGATTCAACCAACTAGTTCAGACTAGGTGCATCCACAATCCACAATTGTCATCAACAAATAAACACCCAAACATGGCTTGTTCGTCGTTCAGTGCGTTAATCATTTCCTTGTGCCAATCGGGTAGAATCTGGTAGACCCGCTCTTTGGCCATGTCCCACCCGGCATCATTTCAGACCTTTGAGGAAAGTCTGGCGCATGTTGGAGGTTCTCTTTGCCACCTGGCAAGTCTGGTCCTACTTTCATCGGCCATATGGAGGGTTCAAAGCCGTATATCTATCGCTATAAAGCGTGAACAAAAAACGATGTATAAAAGTGTTTATGTGTTTGTATGTGTTTCCTATAGTATTTCCTATAGTATATACATATTTCGGGTATCATTGGGTAAAACTATCAAGGCCCCTTTTTAATGCAGCAGCAATAGTGACAAACCGCTACAGTACTGGTCATCCCACCAGCGTTGAACATCCCTATGTTGGCTACAAAAACATGCAACTGGCCATTATGATAACCCGTATGAAGGTGTATCCCATGGCCATTTTTGGCCATTATGATATTATGATTCCGTGTGAATGAAGGTGTAAAACTGTATAAGCATTCCCCAATGAATGGGTTAATCATGGTTAATCCATGTTAATGCAAGGACCAACTTGAAACACGTTGTGATTTCCGGCCTCCGGCAGCATGACTGCAGTTGGTCGCACACACGGTGCGAAAGCAGGACATTGCTGCTGACTTGCGAAACAATGGGGGTCTTTTAGAAGCTGCTGGTCTCTGAAATCCATATCGCAGTTGCACACACACACACACGTGTTCTCGACAAGAGTAAAGGTAGACTGGAGCAAGTTTATATACTGTATATGTATATGTATATATATATATACTATATATATATATATTATGTATGTATAATTAATAGTTGTATATTTCCGAATCATATATGTATATATATATATCATATATCTGTTTGTCACAGGATCATCTTCAAAGACAAGTTGGGGATCCTGGGAATGAATCAGGATCACCAAGGTCCACCGACTGGAGATCTCTGCAAACCAGCCATGGACGTGGGAAAACAATGGAAAACACCTAATAGGATCTAATAGGACCCTATCCTCACAAGGTCAAATTGGGCAATCCACTATACATCATTAAACATCAACTGTCCTTCTATCCTTCTGCATCATGTTCGGTGCTTTGGGCTCCAAGTGGTGTTTTTGGAGTGTAGAGTGTTTGATCCAGGCTGTCTGAGCCTCCAGCTGACACGTGCTGATTCCGTTGATACACCAAGAAAGAAGGGATGCACAGGGCGTTTCTTTCTGAGATTTTCTGAGACTACCAAGTGTCATCCCACATTGGTCATATCTTGTGAATCTTGTGTCACTTTATGGCACTTTATGTCACTTTAACGGCACCAGGCAATCATCCCATGTAACCATTGACTGTGGGGCCAGGAAAGCATTGATTTTCACCGCGAGGGACGATGAATCGCTCACCGACATCTCGTTTGAGATCCGATGAATTAGGTGTGGCATCGCTGTCATCTATGTATCCAACAAATGGAGGTTGGGAATTCAACCAGAAGAGTTTCCAGAAACATATCTTGAACTGAAACATAGTGAACCCATGCAACATCGAGTGTGTTTCAAGAAATGCGTTCATGACAAATATGGCAACTGTAAATAAACTGCATCATCATACGCCACAAGTTGTTTTGAGCCACAACAACCAAACTATGAACATTGAAACAAATCAACAGGCATTGGTAAACCGGCTGTGTAAAGCTGTCCTTTGCTGAAATGTCTGAACTGTTTCATGGGATAAGGGCACTTCCACCAGCCCAAATGGTGATTGGATCAAACCATATCCCTGAATGTAGCCACAACAATGAATGCATGTAGTAAGTTTGGGAGCAATGGCACCGTGGACATTCTGCACATGTGGCCTAGTTTAGCGTATATCGAATACAAGCAAGCGACCCAAAATGCTTGCCCATGCTTGGATGATTTCAAAAAAACATGGCAGTGTGTCAAAACCTTGTACCCCTGTAGTTCACATCAAAATAGCTGGTAAATGGATGTTCATCCCACTAAAAATGGTATTAATAGGTATTGATCCATAGCCACATCACTGATGTGTTGTTTCTCTTCTGGGAACGGCTCACTTTTCGATGCGATCTACTTCCTCTCAAGGGCCTTCTGTCTGATGATCTCTTCTGCCTCCTGAAGAGAAGGATTCTGTCGTGCTACACTGGAGCAATCTGGACCAGCCACCAAACATGGCAATATCCTCTGGTTGTTTCCCATAGCTATGGAAAATCACGGTGTGTAACAGGTAAATCATCAATCTTTTTATAATTGGCCATTTTCCTTAGCGAACTATGCCAGATGACTAGATGGTATTCATCAACAAAACTTTGAACAAACAACTCGGGAACTACCAGGAAAAATTGATCAATAAGAATGGCGTAGGCCACTGCAAGCCCAAAAAAATGTGGGCAGCATGCAGATCCTTGGCTCCCCATGAAATAGAAATACTACAATAGCTCATTGGCTCCCGTTCAAACAAGCAAATAGCAAAACATAGCCACACTAGTTATCAGAACTTCTTGCTTTCCATGGCCAGTTCTGCTGGCAGCAACAGCTCCTTGGTGACGTCTGAAGTGCACAGGCCATGCTTTGGAGGACGATACGGATTCCAAGAGACCTCAGAAAGATTCAGAAAGCACATTGGAGGGAACTTCGACGTTCACAACGGAAATTCATAGAATTGGATTATGGGAAAATTTACAGGAAAGCCCTATATTTGATGGTAAAAACCATGGTTTCCTGTAAATTTTCCCTTAAACCAATCCAGTGAGAAATGCTTTTCATCTTTTCGATGACACAATTCATGCCAGTCATGTCAGAAACTCCAGTGGGACCAACTGTGGGACGGCCCAGATTCTGAGCCGATGCAGCAGCCGGGGATCCAAGCAAATGACTCCTCGTAGAGGCCTCCCAGTGCCAAATATGGGCTACCTTTTTAAAATATGGACAGTGAGCCGAGATAAATCTGGAGAATTGTGGGGCTTTAATTGGGATATAAATGGGATATACATGCTATGTAAAGCATTGTAAAGCTGTCAAGCTATGGAGGCTTGACCAACACAATTCAACACAATATGTGGACCCGTTTGGATATACCAATGACAGCTAAAAAACAAAGCTGTTATGGATACAACCTCGGGCATTTGGACAGCACGTGACTTTGGTAGCCATTCAACTTGGAGAATCCAATAAGAGTTGGCGGCTGCATGTGATAGCCTACAGATTTGGATGTGATGCAATAGCAAACATGTTTGTATGATAAAAACTGCCAAATTACTTCAAACATAATGGTGGATTAGCATGCTCTGGTTTGAAATTAACATTTGGATACATTTGGTAATTTGACACAGCCATACAAAATTACATACTCGTTAAACATACCCATTTTCCAAAGCTACATTAGATTACCAAAGGTACACATGCCCATAAAAGAACGAATGGCAATAAATTTGGGAGCCTGTTCGAACATATTCATAAAAACAAATATTTAAAACAACTATGAACCATGAGCTGAACTGTGGATCCATTAAGAAAAGCGCATGAACTAACCATGGGCGCCTCATGAAAAATGTCCAAAACGCCGCCGTTTAACTAGGCGCGGCCTGTGTTTCTGCCAGGTCGTCCACCACCGACGCCTGGCGACTCGGAGAAAGAGTTGGCAATTTTAATGAGAAAATGGTCAGACACACCCTATATATATAGAATCCCAAGTGTATATGTATGTATATTATATATCTTTGTATACCCATTAAATTAATGGTCAATAAGATGGTCCAGGTATATCTAAGTATGGCATACTTAGACCATCAAATTTCCACTGATCCACTTAAATCCTCCCACATATGTAGCTGGTTTTAACCCATGCCTCACGATACCCAGTCTTTAGCGTCGTTTCCCACCTCCCACGCAGCAGGACTGGAACTGCTTGCTGCTGGTCCAAGGCTGCCGCGACTGGATTTGAGGTTCGGAGCTACTCTTCCGCATAGAGTGCAGCGCCCAATGGTTCTCCTTGGCCAGAAGAAGAAGGGAAACAAGTGAAGTGTGGCTGTTTGGGACACCAATGGTATAATGGTGAGGTTGGAAATGTTGGCCCCAAATCTGATACAAATTGCTTGAATGGAGTGAATAGAAGTATATTTCCCCTACAAATCTGAAAACACATATCCAATTTCATCATGCGGAAAATCATCTCTGAAGTCCTGACATCACAAGCTTTGATGGTCTATCTTGATATGCTCTGAACGAGCCAACTTAAGGGTTCGTTTTCGGACGCATTTGCATATCACTGTATGTCACTATAATGCTGTTATACCATAATTTTCCATAATTCTCCGTCATATCTCCAAATGCCCTCTCCAATGTATTTTCTGTGACTCAAGCCATCTTAAACCGCGCGGCCCGGTGCTGACTCCGAGCGTCAATGTACCAATTGTCTGAACGATAATTGGTGACCGGCTTTGACCAGACATGGCTTTTGGTTCGGAAGTCCCTCTGCTGCTCCTCAAATTGGGGGAAAAGGGGACCGACCCGACCATTTTTTAGCCGCCTTGGAAGGTCTTCTGTTGGCACTGTGGACTGCGCACGTTTTTGTTGCTGGTTGTCTATGCGTTTTCTTTCGGAACACAACGACTTGATGGTCGAGATGGAAATTGCACAGTGAACAGAGCTGTCAAAACTTGGAGACGAACCTCTGGAGCAACTGGCTATCTACAAAGTGAAAGGGAGTCACTTTCGGAACCCTGAATGGCACCACAAGAACAATGTTACACCTGGCCAAATTCCAAAAAACGCTGGCGGACTCAGGGTTCACAACACAAACCACCAGACCGTCCTTCACTTCTGGTTCTAAAGGTACCTCCCAGGGAGCAAGGGATTAGAGAAATCCCAAAACCACCAGTGTCCTTTACAAGACTTCTTAAACCCATGAAAATACACAGCTGACCCATCTAGATCACTTCATGGCATAAGAACGACGCGAGGTGTCTGCGCTTGAAAGCAATTTCTTGGCCAAAAATAGTTGGGTTTGGCCCTTTTCCATACTGTTTCTCATGATGCCCATATCCAGACACGCCTTCAGCCCTGATGCAACCGGCGGTAGCCAGAACTCTCTGTGATGTTCCTTACCTCAGCCAAGCGCAACCATCGATGCTCGACAGCCAAGGAAAACAGTCCGAACCGTCATTTGGCTGTGGATCAGCCAGTCACACACACATAAAATGATCCCTGATGTTGATAGATATACATACATTAGACATACTTAATATTTAAATATATTTAACACATGGTGTCAAATTGTACTTGTAACAACTGGTATATAACAACAATCGAATCATATGGGTCCGGACCTTGTCATAAGGGCTTACATGGATATGAATATAAACATAATATTATTTAGATATAAAAATAAAACTATAGAAATAAATACATACATATATAATAGAAATACATATGCACATATTTCATCAGACCCGTGGGGCACGAAGAGTAAGCAAGGACCCGCTTTCGTTTTCAATCATCACTATCTGAGTCAGAGGAAGAGCTCGAAGAAGAGCTCGCTGAATACACTTGAATATCAACAAATGGTGGTGATGGGGGATGGGTCCTACATGGCATGATTCGGGTATGGAACGGGGTATGGAACGAAATGGACCTGAATTTCTAAAATTTCTGGCTGATTGTTTTGGTGGTAGATTCAACATCTAATTCAATCCTTTTCTTGGAACGGAAACCAATCGTGAATAACCCTTGGCTGATTTGGTGGATATTGTGTTGTTCATAACCCCTCACAACCCCAAGTATACTTTAAACTGCAGATTGCGAGCCATCATACCAACACAAACATAAATTCCTTTACTAATACAAACGTAGCAATAGGGAGCAAGCGGGATCGGGTACAGGCAGAGGGTTAGATACTTTATGTAGATATCCCCTGGTTTCAAAATTCTGCCTCGCTAATTCGGGGGCGACTTTGTGACGTCGAATTAAATCGTACAGATCAAATAGCTGGCCCTGACCCCTCACTCAAAACGCAATGCGTGAAACAGAAACTGAAGAAGCCCATAGGTACAACTCAGAAACAAAACCATTACATGCCCAGGATTTGCAATTACTGAGGTATGGATCATGGGTATGGATCATAGGTATGGATCATGTCCTCTAAAGGGGTATGGATCATGGGTATGGATCATGGGGTATGGATCGCATGTGGTCCCGGGGTATGGATCGGAACCTTACATTTTGAGCTGCAGCCATATAGAGCCCCTGATTCATCTCACAAATGGAGCAAGTAGTATAATATGAAAGGTGGACCTCTAAACGCATCTCGGAGAGTGCGTAATGAGACATCATTAGCCATGGGCCAATGGGTAAGATTTTTGACGACCCACTGCCTGAAATGTTTCATTGCTGCTGAATACATCTGTTTACATCATTTGACCTTGCTATATCAATTTATAATAACCCATATAATGTAAACACACATATATCATATATATATATATGTATCATATATATATATATATATTACACATGATACACCGCGGCCGAACTAGATTGACCAAATGGAATGGTGCAAAAGTGATGGCAAAGTCAAAAAATAGTTCGGCATCTTGTGATGGCACAAGAGGCTCCCCTTGACGGTGCCCAGGGGCAGGGTCTCACCTGCAAAGCCTTTTGCTCGGGGCTGCAGGCTGGCTCCTGGGGCCATGGCCCCGCGGACTTGGCCCTGGGCCCAGTGGGCCCAAATAAAGTGCCGGGAATTTTAGGCTTTGCAAATCCCCAAAGGCCCCAACATGTACGCAGAACACCATTGTAAAACATCATATACATACTATGAACATCATGAATCATGGAACAATTATTCGCCATCTTCTTGCTTGATCATTGGCATATCGAAGTATGGGGCGTTGTCAAGTCTTCATTTTCATCAATTTCAGGATGCGTAAATGGGTATGGGGTATGGTCGCAAGTCATGATCAAAACTTCCCAATTTTTGCCCATGCCATGTCCATACCATACCGGAAACAAACATTCAGAAGGGCACCAGCGCTTTGATCAAGGCCCATTTCATATGGCTAATCTTTGTGGGTGGAATTGTGTTTTGTCATGTGGTGAGTCCCCCAAACGGGATGGTTGCGGTGTTCTATGGCCCTGGCTCTTGACATGTGTCCTCTGAAAACATGGTACCCTAGGTACCCTTGAATCCGCTGGCAAATCATCCTTTTCCTCATCAAAATTACAATTTTGAGGGGCATGCCACCCTTTTTCACACACCCAAATACCATATCAAGTTGGTTATATATAATATGTTATAATTAATGATATCTGGATTACTGTATATACACGATTTTCCCATGATATCCTCAATATCCATTCGTCAAGTCCCATTTTTATTAATATCATATTCTCAGAGATAGCTTTATTAAAGTGAACCCAATGAGTTTGATGGTTAGATCTCCATTCTCAAACACACCCCGATACCATGTTTCCTCCAGCTCGGGCAAGACTTCGGCAGCCAGTGATCGGGCCGTCCGTGGCTGCCCAAGGGGAGAATGGAGGGGATGGGGAGAGCAGGGTCACAGTTTATTGGTTGATGCTTTCAACCCGTCTATTTACTGTATCTTTCACATTCCAACTTTCTATCATTTTCAATTCATTTTCTATCTAGTTTCATTTGACCTGATTTGCCTATTCTACTTAAATCGAGTGGAATCCGCCCCGTGGCGAGGGCATGTCTGATGATCCCAACGCCCAATGATACTGGTTGGTGGTTGAGCCTACCCCTCTGAAAAATACTCATCAGTTGGGGTGATTATTCCCAATATATGGAAAAACAATGAAAAACATATTCCAAAGCACCAACCAGTATATGAGTCCCAATGTAAAGCAAGTCTTGATTTGCAATGCTCAACTGCACTTGATCACAGTAGTGAAGTCGTTGTCAATGTAACCTGTATATGTACAAAACTGAAGACCTGGGTGACCTTGGCAATCCCTGGAATCCTGAACATCACAACTGAAGATGTCAATCTGAACTGCCAAGTCAATGCCCCTAGGCCCTACTGATGATTGTCCGGTCATGGGCATTGTAACCCATCTTTGGAATACCAACCTTATCATAAATCCAACTACCCTCTTAGTTCCCAGGCATGTTTGTTTTAAGGACACAAATTGACTACATCAAACCAAAATCAAATCACGCTGTTGCCAAGCAAAACGTAAACCAAATTGGTGGTTGAGCCAACCGATGCCAAAAAATATGTTCCTTCATCCTATTTTTTGTTGACATTTTGAAACCACCAGCCAGAAACACAAAACACATTCCTTGGAACATGTGGAACTCTGCTGGCCAAACTCCACTGGCCAAAAATGGGAACGAGTGTGTTTACCCCACAAAATATTGGTTAGCAGTGTGATAACAAAACAGATCCCCTCAGGCTGGGTCTGAACGGAAACCTTTGAAACATGTGCATGGGTGTAATTGCCTTGAAAAACCACCACGAAATCGAATCAAGTGGTGTATATCATCGTCCAGGTCGGAATGGCTGAATGGCTATTGCTGTATGCCTCATGATTTTCCTACTCACCATTTTGTTGGTTGTCCATGTATGTATCCCAGCATATCCTTACAACATGGTTGGTTTATCTGGAGGCCATCAACTGAAAGGGAACAAACCTGACCATAATTGTTTTCATGTTGATCTGAAACATCCCAATTGGCCCAATGATTACACATTTGGCCAATTGATGCCAATAGGTCAGTCTCGACCCCAAAAAAAACATGAACAACGTTGGTTCTGTCATTGTGTGCAACCAATTAGCTCAAAACGCCATTATAGCTGGCTTGGACAATTCCACACGCCAATATATACCATCTTTGTTGAATATACATAGATATGTGTATATACTGTATATACATATATCCAAATATACAGTCCTATTCTCAAAGAAATTGTACAACATAAATACATATGTACTATATTGTACTATAAAATCCATATGCGTTTTGTATCTTTACTCAATGATACTTGCTTGAATTAAAAACTATTATACATATATATATATGTATAGAATCTACCCAATGAATGGTTGTGTGGACATACTGTTAAAACACTGTCAATCAAAATAAAACGGCTTACTAAACAGGAAAACCGTAGACTATATGGTATGAAATGTATTAAGACACATTGCCCCCGTATCCCAGTGATCATCTGTGGCCCTGTTTTTGAAAGCCGAGACCAGGGCCACCTGGCGCCCCAACCACCACGGCCGTTCATGGGCACTGCTGTCCTTGGGCCGAAGGGCCGCTGAAGTTGGCTTTACAAAAGTGGTGGGTTTAGCCAACCAAGAATAGTAAGTTCCAAATTTCTACGAAATAACTAGCAAGCAACTTCAAGCAACTAAGATTTGTTAATAGTTCTTACCGATTCTATCTGGTGAAAAAGGATTTCATCACAAACAAATGGTGATATGGGGTTGGTTCCATAATCTTGCCGGAAACACAATTCATGTTTCTGCGCTTATGCATTCATGCACATGTGCCAAATATATGTACGGCTTCCAAGGCACTAAGATTTTGAGCCCAAACCACGCTATGATTCAAGGGCCCAACTACATCCTCATCAAAACCCCAGCTATCCTCCAAACAGGACTGCAAAAACCTGAGACAAATCAATTTATGGATCTTTGGATTGGAATCAAAGCAACTTCTGCCACATCTAACATCTTGTGCCCTGATGGGTTGAGCATGGATACATTCCATCTGCAGGGCTTCCCTTGGGCCTGCAACGCTATGCTGATCGCAGTTCAGAACTGATCCAGCCCCAACTCTCCCATGAGCCAAGAAACACATGGCTGAGGCATTGCTTCCCACCAACCCTTCAGCAGAACATAGGTACTGATTTCACATGTTTCACGTTTGATTTTTGTGATTTGTGTTGTCCGAAGAACGAATGAAGAATGCTGGAAACCAACCGAAATGTCCGTTCTTCCAAGTGGCGTGTTCCAACACATTTCTTTTTAGTCTGATATGGAGCCTGAAGCAGCCAATATTGAAGAGACTGACGAAACCAAAGTACCGCTTGTACGAAGCTTCTCTCCGCAGGCTTGGGGTCAAGACTTGGCATTTGAGGAAAAACAAAAGCCATATAGGACATATGTCTGAATGATTTGTTCATATAGATGCCATTTCACTGAGCACTAACATGAAATGACATGAACCACGCCACGGGTCATGTCATAAAAAACATAGTTTGAGAATGGTCGAGTTGAGTGAACAAGCCCTATACTATACTGTATACTGTTTACCAGGCTTATCACCATTTCACTCATATGAATGATGCCTTTGTTATGTGAGCGTGTACGTGCGGCCACAGTGCCGCAAATGAGATCTCGCTCTAATTTTTGCCCAGGCAGCATTGGTGATCAACTCTTCTGTACCTTCTTGGGTGCCCAAAGCCATCACTGCAGGATTAATGGAACATATTGCTCAACGGTGAGTTGAGCAAAGGTGCTCTTGACAAAGTCTCCAGGCCTCCACATGAGTGTGCATATGTTGCTGCCAATGGATGGGATGCCATCCGGCAAGCCACAAAGTCAGAAACATATGGCTACTTGTATGGCTCATAACTCCGGCCACCCGAGCCAGTGCCATGATGGAACAAGCACCTGCTCATCGCTTGATGAGTTGTTGCAAGATGATGGTCAACAGTCAATGGTCGATCTTGCGGCCCTGATTGCCAAACATCGCGAGTAGGTTGACTCACAGCTCAGGAGCAACTCTATGTGCGATAGGTGTGGCCGTGTGGCCGCCAACAAAGCAAGGAATGGAGTCGACCGAGAAAAAAACGATGTATCTAACAGGCAGCCAAACTTGCATGACCCGCAATGATGATGAAAAAGGCTTACGGGGTGTTTTTTGAGCTCGTCAAAGTCGCAAAGTTCGAGGTCGTGATCAATACATCTGTCCAGTGAGCCCCCCGCAGCAGCTTGCACACCCCTTCGTCGAAAGCACGCACTTGCATTCGGCCCAGCACCAGGCCAAAAATCGCTCCACTAAGAACCTCCTGCCAGGACCTTCAGGAGGAGAGATCTTGGAGCTGGCGATGGGATCCGATGAGATCTTAGTCCTTCCACTTTGCCTCGCCTGTAGCCTGGCGCAGAGGACTTTTTCGAAGGGGACACAATCAGCGCCAGATTGGGTGGCATGTTCGAATCCCATGCCCTAATATGAGATACCCAGATACCTCCCATAAGGGAACTGAAAATGAAGAGATCAGAATAGATCCAATGCTAAACCGAGGTTCCTCAGGGAGTATCACCTGGTGTTTCTCAAGATACATCTGGACAAGTCATCTGGGACATGGCCTCATTCCACAACCAGGTCCTTTGTGAATTTGGATCTACCTTGGCCATGCGAAAGATAACCGTCTGGTGGAGTTGTGGCGCTTCCAGAGAGTTTGGTGCCAATAGTCTTCCAAATCTCCATCCATTGAAGAATAGTTCTAGTATGTTCTAGTACTTGCTGCATTAAAAAAAAAACATGGGCAAATATTATATATATATTATAATTATATATATTGGTTCATGACTACATATACGAACACTACCTATTTCGGGCTTTGTCCACACGATGTGATTGGGATCAATTTTCCAAACTTGGAATCTGATTGGTGGCTTAAGCCGGTGAAAGTGACCAGGGACCGTCATCCACTATTTGGGGTGTCTCAAATCGCACCCAAATGGTGATTCTATAAGAGGGAACAATGATGTTACAAGTAACCAGTGGATGTATAGATACGCTATTTCCATACAAACCCACATGACATGTGAAACCACCAGAAGTATAGAACGGCGTCGGTGTTACCCCCTTACATCATTCAGGTGTCATGATCCCGTCTTGAGCCTTGCAATCACCACATAATTCCATCCCCCTAACAATAAATCCGCGGGACGCCAATGGATTCAAAATTCTATAGGAATTCACTACTAGACCGCTTCTCATTATATGGCTCATGTTTAAATCAGATTAAATCAGGGGGTACAGTAGTACCCGAAAAAACCCACTACCAGTGGCAAAAAGCCAGCAGGGACCAGCTACAAACTCCTCCCACTTCGTGGGCTTCGCGGCGGGTGCCTGCAGGTGGCCAAAATCGAGTGTGCAAAATCGATGTTGGATGGTCCATTTTGGAAGGTTACAACTAAAATGAGAGGCAGATAGGTTTCTAATGGTTTCTACAATGTTAGATGTATGATGAATACAACATGATACATCTAGAGTCGAGTTGAATGGTGCTACTCACCAAAGCATAAACACGAGGGGGCCTTCTTTGTAGAAATGGTTTAGTGGAGAATTAGAATTGGGGAATGTCATCTGTCCAATATCATCTAGAAATGGCCCAACAGCATCCACAGTGAAGGAAATTCATCAACATTGGTTGGTAAATAATATTACATATTGGGTCTGTCTGAAGATAAGTTATCCCTAAACAATTTTCCCAAGCTAAAACGGCACTTTTGGGGGCTATTCCATATTTAATTAAATTGGAAAAAACACATGAAAAAAACACGGCCATAGATTGGTGAAATGGGGGTTTCCATTTAGATGGTGGATCCCCAATAGCTGGATGGTTTACAATGGAAAATGATGGAAAATGCCAAAACATGGATGATAACTGGGGGTACCATCCATTTTCCCATGACAAAACGGAAAGCTCCAATTGGAGGATGCAGACTTTCCCCCAGCCCGGCCTTCTCCGGCATCGACCCGCCGTTCAACCACTGGCGAGGCGACCTGGCGATCTGGCGAACTCGCCATGGGACAAGGACCAACTCGCCATGTTTGATTACCAAAGCCTTAAAGGCTAAATGGGGTGACAATCAGAAGATCTTCATATTCGTGTTCATACCATTGTCTTGTAAATAGTTTTAGTACAAACATAGAATCATTGTTCATCTGACTATTTATGACAGGGAATTCCATATGACAATTGTTAGTATAAACATGGAATTCCAATGACTATCGTGTCTCACCACGATGGTTCATAGGGATTCATATTAACCACGTGATCTCCTTCGATTGGCAGATACAGCACGACTAACATGCATCAAGCGGTCTGCTTGGTATTTTCAACAAGTTCCATGACTGGAAGTCAGAACATTTTGTCTTCTTGGGGTATGATTATAAGTCCAAGCTTTGTTTAGAATTCCTCAGAGTTGGGGATGTATCTTTAAATAAATAACAATAGTAATTCACCAACCCGAAGAATTTGGCCGGGGATGGTTACCTTTATCCTAACATATCCTAACCACCAGCCCCTGGCAATTGGCAAAAATAAGGCAATTTGCTCATCTGAGCCTGGCCAATTTCCGATACCTTGCCTTGCCACAAAAATCACAGCTGGCTGGCTGGTATTGTATACATATATATATACAGAGCAATTTCCAAGAACATAGAACAGTACAATCCTACTAAGATTATGATATATTAGTGCCAATTACATCCAATTACTAGTGTCAATCCGGAAACATGACAGTCTGCAACAAGTACCATCCTCGCCTCGCTTGGGGCTCTGGTGCCATCCTGTGACGGTCCATTGAGTTCGCTGATGGAGATCATTTTCCATAGCTATGTAGAAAATAATCCTCAAATGGTGGGTTGATGACTGGGTTTATCACCATTATACATATTGTTACCCATATCATACCGTTTTGAGGACTGGTCATATGGTACTGTATAAGTATCATGATGTATAAGCGGGGTCGCATGTAGTAGTTATACCCATGTTGTGTTTGGCTGGTTTTACATGCTTTCCCTATTCACAGGTTTGGGGAAAACATGAACATGTATAGTAACAACCACATGGATTTGCCAAGAAGTAGGAACATATAACGAAATCAAACGTTTTGTTTCCTTCATTCATGAACCCAGTCAAAATATGCCAAGATGGCAACTGTTGGGTATACCCCTGAACTCATGTAACCTTTTATAATCAAACATAGCCTAGCAATATACAGCAATGTTGAACATATAAATACACACAATATGGACCGGCATGGTTGAACATATAAATACAAACATTCAATACATGCGTACGTATATGTATGTATAGATATATATATATATAGAGACATACATAGTAGATCATAGTAGCTAATCGTAATTACGTGGGGTAACATTTTACCATGGTCCTTGAAAGTACCTGTCCCTATGCTCTAATGCTAAAGACATTAATCACAAAATGTCGCAAGCATGTACAGATTGGCGGTTCGACGGGATGTGATTTGAGCAGTATTTAATGTGGTAAAATGTGCTAAACCGAATGATCGCCCATTTTGCCAGAAATTATAGCAATCTCCAACTAGAGGCTTATTGGGTTTACCACTTTACACCACTTTACCACACTAGCACCGGTAGCCGGCTACTGCCGGCTACTCACAAGGGGTGCCTCCCTCCACCGGGCTTGACGGGTGGGAACACGCTCCTGCGCTCGACGAACTCTGTGTTGGCTTGACTGGATGAAACTGCTGATTCAAACGCTCTGCAGTGAGTGGCTTTCAACCACCAACTTAGGGGCATATATGACTTGTGACCAGCAAAACAATATTAAAATTGGGGACTGAATGATTCCTTCAATTGTCGCGCAGTCATAGGCAAGCTTTGACACATACTGCCAATTGATGCGCTTTCTATTCAGTCTCATGTATGAATTGAGCCGTTTTGACCATGGACGTGTCTGTATTCTGGATACAAAAAGTCCAGCTCTGCACTTGCAATCGATACAGCCGGCAGGGCAGCCGGCATCAGTGGATCTCGCTAGGCATCAAAACCATTCACCAGAATAGGTCAGAGAGCGGCAGCATGTGGAGCTATGCGGATGCAAATGGATGCATAATTTGTTACATACTTGTTAAACATATATATATATATATACTGCAGGATTCAGATGTGTTCAGTGAATGACACACTAAAAGTAAAACACAAAACTATAGCAACAATTTGATGTCAATGCTGGCTAATGTGTGTATATATATATAGAGTCTATAGTATAGATAGCCATCCCGCGTAGCTACTACCAATGAACAGGAAATAAAGCCACAAACCAAATGACCTCTTGGAGTGACCCACTCTAATCACCACCTCAGATGTTTCACATCACTACACCACAGCGGCTTAGCACCCTCCGTCCTTGCAACCATTGGCTCAAATGGCAAAGGCTCCTGCGCCGGCGCTGCGTGCTGTGACTTATCTGGGAACATCAATCTTCATTTGGCAGCTCCCCGGCGTACCTGGGCAGCAACATGAATATAACTTATAACCAAGATGTTTATGATTACAATCCTCTTTCCAGTGTTTACAGTCCAATTTTGGCTGAGGTTCGCCTTTTGATTGAGTCACTCCCAATTCTTCTAGATCAAATCCGCTTGAATGGGCCTTCTGATAATCAAACATGGCAGTTGACAATGCTAAATTAATTTGAGCAATTCATCTCTAAAAAACAAAATACTATATGTGGTAGACCCTCCCAAATATTACCATAAATGGTGGGTAAAAACCATCCACAAACAGTAGGTCCATTATTGGGTTTGCCACTCATATATAAACCACATCTTGTACAGAACAAAAACAAATCATTAGTACATACACATCTTACATATATAAAGATATGTCCCTATGAAATACACACTATCTCTATCTCCCTACCTACCTACCTATCTATCTATCCATCCATCTATCTATCTATCTATCGATCTGTCTATCAGTCTATTTGTTTATCTGTCTATCTATCTATCGATCTGTCTATCTAACTATCTATCTATCTATCTATCCATCTATCTATCTATCTATCTATCTATATGTCTATCTATCTATCGATCTATCTATATGTCTATCTATCTATCGATCTATCTATATGTCTATCTATCTATCTATCTATCAACCAATCAATCAATCAATCAATCAATCAATATATCTATCGAACTTTCTATACATCTGATTGTCTGTCTGGCTGTCTGCCTGTCTGCCTGTCTGTCTATCTGACTATCTATCTATCTGCCTATCTGTCTATTTGTTTATCTGTCTATTTATCTATCTATCTATCTATCTATCGATCTATCTATCTATCTACCTATCTGTATACCCAACTATCTATCTACTTATCTATATATATCTATCCATCTATCTATCTATCTTTCTTTATGTCTATCTATCTATCTATACATCTATCTATCTATCTATCTATCTAACCGTCTATATATCCTTCTATCTATCTATCGATTTATCTATCTATCTCATTATCTTTATATCCCTATATTTATCTATCCCTATCTATCTTTTCATCTGTATATCTAACTATCTATCTATCTAACTATCTATCTACCTATCTATATGTCTATCTATATGTCTATCTATATGTCTATCTATCTATCGATTTATCTATATGTCTATCTACCTATCGATCTATCTATCTATCGATCTATCTATATGTCTATCTATCTATCGATCTATCTATATGTCTATCTATCTATCGATCTATCTATATGTCTATCTATCTATCTATCTATGTGTCTATCTATCTATCTATCTATATGTCTATCTATCTATCTATCGATCTATCTATATGTCTATCTATCTATCTACCTATCTATATGTCTATCTATATGTCTATCTATCTATCTATCGATTTATCTATATGTCTATCTACCTATCGATCTATCTATCTATCGATCTATCTATATGTCTATCTATCTATCGATCTATCTATATGTCTATCTATCTATCGATCTATCTATATGTCTATCTATCTATCGATCTATCTATCTATCGATCTATCTATCTATCTATGTGTCTATCTATCTATCTATCGATCTATCTATATGTCTATCTATCTATCTATCTATATGTCTATCTATCTATCTATCGATCTATCTATATGTCTATCTATCTATCGATCTATCTATGTCTATATGTCTATCTATCTATCTATCTATCTATCTATCGTCTATCTATATGTCTATCTATCTATCGATCTATCTATCTATCGATCTATCTATATGTCTATCTATCTATCGATCTATCTATCTATCTATCGATCTATCTATCTATATCGATCTATCTATCTATCGATCTATCTATCTATCTATCGATCTATCTATATGTCTATCTATCTATCGATCTATCTATCTATCGATCTATCTATCTATCGATCTATCTATATGATCTATCTATCTATCTATCTGTCGATCTATCTATCTATCTATCGATCTATCTATCTATCGATCTATCTATCTATCGATCTATCTATCTATCGTCTATCTATCTATCGATCTATCTATCTATCTATCGATCTATCTATATCTATCTATCTATCGATCTATCTATCTATCGATCTATCTATATGTCTATCTATCTGTCGATCTATCTATATGTCTATCTATCTATCGATCTATCTATCTATCGATCTATCTATATGTCTATCTATCTATCGATCTATCTATCTATCGATCTATCTATCTATCGTCTATCTATCTATCTATCTATCGATCTATCTATATGTCTATCTATCTATCGATCTATCTATCTATCGATCTATCTATATGTCTATCTATCTCGATCTATCTGTCTATCTATCGATCTATCTATATGTCTATCTATCTATCGATCTATCTATCTATCGATCTATCTATATGTCTATCTATCTGTCGATCTATCTATATGTCTATCTATCTATCGATCTATCTATCTATCGATCTATCTATATGTCTATCTATCTGTCGATCTATCTATATGTCTATCTATCTATCGATCTATCTATCTATCGATCTATCTATATGTCTATCTATCTGTCGATCTATCTATATGTCTATCTATCTATCGATCTATCTATCTATCGATCTATCTATATGTCTATCTATCTCGATCTATCTGTCTATCTATCGATCTATCTATCTATCGATCTATCTATATGTCTATCTATCTGTCGATCTATCTATATGTCTATCTATCTATCGATCTATCTATCTATCGATCTATCTATATGTCTATCTATCTGTCGATCTATCTATATGTCTATCTATCTATCGATCTATCTATCTATCGATCTATCTATATGTCTATCTATCTGTCGATCTATCTATATGTCTATCTATCTATCGATCTATCTATCTATCGATCTATCTATATGTCTATCTATCTGTCGATCTATCTATATGTCTAATCTATCTATCGATCTATCTATCTATCGATCTATCTATATGTCTGTCTATCTGTCGGTCTATCTATATGTCTATCTATCTATCGATCTATCTATCTATCGATCTATCTATATGTCTATCTATCTGTCGATCTATCTATATGTCTATCTATCGATCTATCTATATGTCTATCTATCTATCGATCTATCTATATGTCTATCTATCGATCTATCTATATGTCTATCTATCTATCGATCTATCTATCTATCTAATTGTCTCATCTATAGATAGCTTTGAATGGTGCACCCCTAGCGCAGCTGCGCGCCTCCTCGGGCGAATCTGGTCTCGCGGGTCGACCTGGTGCCACAACGTATACAATCCTATAATTCTATATGCACACAAACATACTTACTCCATTATGTATATACTAGTATATACTGTATGTATATTCTATTGTATGTGATATTACATATGTATATTGCATGTTATTGCATCATTTATACACAATACATTTATTCTTGCATGTATAAATAGTGAACGTGACATGATATTCAAGAATGAAATAAATTGGGAAGCTGATAAAAGGGTTCTACAATGCCAATACAATTCACTATAGATTGGTGTATCCGAACATTGGGTAAGCCTCGAATGGTGGCTATTCAAAAAATCATAATCAACCATCAGCAATAGCAGGCTTACCTCCCGATTTTACCATTGACTTTGAGGCTTTCCTGAATATGTTCCCCGTATCCAACTCCGGGGCTACTTGTCCGACTGGAATGATCCCTGGGTCCCTCTAAGAACTCCTAACATACTCCAATTTTCAGATGGAACACACTTACTAAGCATTTATCACTTCAGCAACTTTAGGCATTATTCCAGCATCAGAAAGCAGTTTGTCAAGTAGAAGCATAGGCATAGGACTCAGACCACACAAAGAAATATAGAACAGTTTTGCCTTGCCAGGCTTTTGCCGATGTATGCCGATGTTGATGTAGAAAATGTTTACCTTGGTTGTTTAAGGCTTGCAGTTTTTCTATCTACTTGGGTAATTTCTCCCGCCGTGCGCTGGGGTACTGAGTGGACACGTACGATTACTACATCAACTGCCACTTGAAACTGACTGAAAATGACCTTCTGTAAATACCCTCTGGCAACTTACCAGCTTTCTTGCCTTCTGGTCAAACATTAAATATGCACATATAGGGATTCCGCCCACATCTAGTCTATGTTGGTTTCGCACTGTTGGAATGATAGTGTGGATCCAGATTTAGAACAGCAATGGTATGATTTGTGTGTGCTTGTTGTGAAACAAACTACATGATCCATGATTTAATGTGATTCATTCCGATTGGGATGGTCATGTTACATAGGTTCGCATTACTTCACTACGTTTCCGGTTTCACGCAAGAATCTACAGCAAATCGCCACTTCTTTGTTGACAATGTTTTGGTTCATTATCATTTACTTTATCCCCTTGATTGATTCATTATACACTTCTATGTTTAAGAACAAACAATTACAACCAGCCAACAAACGGCGGCTAAAAAAATGGTTTCCCCCATGATTATCAACCCACAACTGGTAAAACCAGCGGATACATCCCGATGGATAAACATATTAATACTTCACCAACAAATGCCTGCACATAATAAAGGAATACACACATCGTCGACAGATAAAGGTAGATAAATCATATACCATCTTCCCCAACTAACATAAACCCTTCCAAATACAATAGGCGGTTGGAAAACTACTTTCAAACGTAGACTGTCGAAGTGTCAATTTGGATCCATTTGGGGGATGGTAATGGTAAATTTCATTTTTTGGTGGTAAATTCCTAATTATAATTCCATTCATAACCATTCACAATCATAAAACATAACGACCATTGATCCCCATGGAATTCCATGGATGTTTCCAACCTCCCTCTCCGCACCTGGATCTAGCTGTCCGAGCAGCCCCTCCAGTGGGATCTCAATCTGCCTGCAATTGAAATGATAAGGTGGGATCGTTTCCTTTGCTTGCGGTGCTAATAGGGGGCTATGTTCGGATGTTCAGGAAACAAAACAATATGTAGCAATGGTTGCTCTAGCAGTCGTCACCTGATTGAAATACTGTACATATGTCCTATCATAATTGGTTTAAGTCACTAGTAGCCAAATATGAACCAAATAACCCATCTTGGGACGTGAATAGCAAACATCTCTTTGGGATTCGTACCCTCCTGCAAACTAATATAGACGTAAATATGTTAAAAAAACATGTTCAATGACAATGACCTACAACTAGTGCATTTTGTCTATGATATCTGCAATGAATTCTACCAGTAGGACCGCGCAAGGCGGCGGCGGAAGTTACAAAGGTAGGAAACCTATCGGAGAGTGAGTTGTTGTGATTCATGGATGGCTGAGCGAATTGAATGACAGAAAGGCGGTTGGACTCTGAGTCTCTCTCTCTCTCTCTCGATAGCTATCTATCTATCTATCTATCTAGCTGGCTAGCTAGCTATCTATCTATCTTACTTATCCTATCTATCTATCTATCTTACTTATCCTATCTATCTATCTTACTTATCCTATCTATCTATCTTACTTATCCTATCTATCTATCTATCGATCGATCTATCTATCTATCTATCTTATCCTATCTCTTCCTATCTATCTTATCTTATCTTATCTACCTATCTATCTTATACTATTTATCCTATCCTATCTATCTATCTATCTAACTATCTATTTCTCTATCTGTCTATCGATCTATCTATCGATCTATCTATCGATCTGTCTACCTATCTACCTATCTACCTATCTACCTATTTACCTACCTACCTACCTACCTATCTATCTATCTATCCATCCATCCATCCATCCATCTATCTATCTATCTATCTTATCTATCTTATCTATCTTTTCTATCTTATCTATCATATCTATCTTATCTATCTTCTCTATCTGATCTATCTTATCTAGCTTATCTATCTTATCTAATTTATCTAATCTATCTAATCTACCCAATCTAATGTATCTAATCTATCTAACTATCTACCTATCTATCCTATCTACCTATCTACCCTATCTACCCTATCTACCCTATCTACCCTATCTATCCTATCTATCCTATCTATCCTATCTATCCTATCTATCCTATCTATCCTATCTATCCTATCTATCCTATCTATCCTATCTATCCTATCTATCCTATCTATCTATCTATCCTATCCTATCTATCCTATCTATCCTATCTATCCTATCTATCCTATCTATCCTATCTATCCTATCTATCCTATCTATCCTATCTATCCTATCTATCCTATCTATCTAATCTATCTATCTATCTATCTATCTATCTATCTGTATACCTAACTATCTATCTACTTATCTATATTTATCTATCCATCCATCCATCTATCTATCTTTCTTTCTGTCTATCTATCTATCTACCTAGCTATCTATCTATCTATCTGTCTGTCTGTCTGTCTATCTATCTATCTGTCTATCTATCTATCTATCTATCTTATTATATGTCTATATAGTAATCTCTCAATTTATATTTCCATCTCATTATTTTTCAATCTATCTATTTACCTCCGTCTATCTGACTATCTGATTATCTGTTTGTCTTTCTGTCTACCTGCCTATCTCTTTCTATTAATTTGTCCATCTATCTTTCTTTCTATCTGAAAGGAAACACTTATGCGAGGCTTCCTTCAAAAGTGGAAGTTGGCATGCTCAAAACGAAGCAATTCTGCGAGACTTCCTCGATTTCTTAATTTGACAACATCAAAAACGAAGCAATTCGGCGAGACTTCCTTCAAACAAGAAAAGTTGAGGTGCAGAGCTGACGGCTCGCACCAAGGCGTTTTGCAATTTTTCCACTCCATGTGTCTAAAGTACTGCCCCTGCCACGAAAAAGTGAAGCCAAGTCATACTAAGTGCTGCGCCTATCACGCGAAATCATCTTAGCAAACCTGAAGATCCGATGCTCCAAAATGCAGTGCTTCTGAGGAAATCAGAGCCTTGATCTCCTAACATGTTTCATGGAGATGTCTTCTGCACTGCGCCTGCCACGCGAAATGTATGTTTGCAGACACTCTTCGAACGTCACATGCTTGCCATCGCTTGTGAAACTGGTTCAAAAACCCACACGTTTGGCTCACTTTTGACAAGGAACAAAATCCATTGCGTCTGCCACACGAGACGGCCCCTCAATGTGCAAAACTGGTCCGAACATGTATCATCTGGTGCTTTACCAATTTCACTTCGAAATGTGCTTCGAGACACAGTCGCGTGCACTTGTTCGACATCTCGACGTTCAAAAGTGCTCCGAGAAGAGGTGCTTTGTGAATTTTGACTTCCAAATCTTCTTCGCGCCACGATGGCGTGCAATTTTTGATCTCTCATCCGGCCAGATGGCTCCGCATCCGCCGCTTCATTTCGACCCAAATCATTGGAAAAACCTAATGTTTCGCGACTTTTCTACCCTTTTGCTTGCTCTTCTTTCTACTGACTTTCTCTTCTGACTCTTTCTCTTCTGTGACTCTTCTCACCACTGTTGCTGCGTCTGTCCATAAGTCGGAAGTTTGACTATTGGAAAAACCTAATGTTTCGCGACTTTTCTACCTTTTTGCGCACCTTGCTCTTCTTTCTACTGACTTTCTCTTCTGACTCTTTCTCTTCTGTGACTCTTCTCACCACTGTTGCTGCGTCTGTCCATAAGTCGGAAGTTTGACTATTGGAAAAACCTAATGTTTCGCGACTTTTCTACCTTTTTGCGCACCTTGCTCTTCTTTCTACTGACTTTCTCTTCTGTGACTCTTCTCACCACTGTTGCTGCGTCTGTCCATAAGTCGGAAGTTTGACTATTGGAAAAACCTAATGTTTCGCGACTTTTCTACCTTTTTGCGCACCTTGCTCTTCTTTCTACTGACTTTCTCTTCTGACTCTTTCTCCTCTGTGACTCTTCTCACCACTTTTGCTGCGTCTGTCCATAAGTCGGAAGTTTGACTTCTAAAATTCTAAACTTCCTTCGATAAGTTTGGTGGAAAATTAATAGCCGCATATGTTAGTTGTATTTTTTGTAGCCCTGTGGTTTGTTACTTCAATTCCACCATCGGATCCAGACCTCTGCTTCACCCATTCAATCCAGGGCTTCCACGTCTCCACCTGGCGGGTTTGTGTGAACATAGGGTACTGCAGATTTTGATGGTTTATCATAGATTTCCCACGACGGTTTTTTTTGTGGTAGACTCCATTTTCAGACACACCGATGTGAAATATCGCGAATTATCATCACAAAAAATGGGAATCCTTAATATGTATATATGTTATATATAAAATATATATATATATATAATTATATATATATTATATATATATAAAATTATATATATATATATATTATATATATTATATGTATAGTATAACCCCTACCATCCGGTCCCCAGAGTGGTCCCCCACCTACATTTATAAAAGTACTAATCCAAGGGTCCTTACTTCTTCAAGGTACCTCTATTAATTTGTTCGGCGGCACTTCTCCCCACCTAGATGTAATAAATGGTCCTCTTCCCACCACCTAAATTAATTTCAGGCAAAATCATTCAAGAGTGGGGGAACTACCATTTCTTCTTTGATTAGGCAGACCCCAAATAATTTCTCCTAATTAATTGGGGTGTGGTTAGCTAAATTATTCGAGGTAGGGGTGAAGGTATCCAAAGTTTCAGGAACAGTGAGGCCAGCCAAGCCCATACGCATGATTCAACACGTCCGGCAAAAGCGGCAGCCGAAGGAGGCACTAGTATGCAAGAAATTAAGGCAGTCTCATCGGATTCAAACCGTGGGGTCCCAAACCAGTACACGCACCCCCAAATTAATTTTACGCGTGACCACGCGAGCTGGAAAAAAGGAAAAACTTTGTTGGCACAATTCGTGATGTTTTTTAATTTTAGTGGGTATTTAATTCTCATTGCGCACAATCAATAAGATTCTGTTCCAAACGCGTCTTCTTACTTCTAAAGGCCACCCTATTAGATTTTGCGTCATTACTGCAATCATTGGGTCCTGTACTAGTACACCCACCCCCAAATTAATTTCACGACTGGCCACGCGAGCTGGAAAAAGGAATACTTTGTTGCCGCAAAAAGAAATAGATTGGGTGTGTATTTGTTCGTGCGTTTTTTCTTTTTAACTGGGTTTTCAATTCTCATTCCGCACAATCAATTAGATTCTGTTCCAAACGCGTCTTCTTACTTCTAAAGGCCACCCAGTTAGATTTAGTGTCATTACAATTCTTGAGTCCTGTACTAGTACACCCACCCCCAAATTAATTTTACGCGTGTCCACGCAAGCTGGGAGGAAGGAAAACAATGGTTGGTGATATGAGAAATAAATTGCATGTTTCTTTGTTCGCAATGGTTTTAAAAAGCTTTTCAAAATCATTTGCAAAACATTGCAAAACAATCAATAAGATTCTTTTCCAAACACATTTTCTTCCTTGTAAATGCAACCCAGGTAAATTTAGCGTCATCAATAATCCAAGTTTGATTTAGCTGGCATGAGCTGTTTGACGAAACATTGCCAAATTAATTCGAGGTGGCCCCAGTCTCATTCTCAAGCATTCAGACTAAATTATTTTGGTACCCCTAACTTAAATTAATCCTCGAAGAATAGAGTTCTCGAAAAAACCACCCATATCAAAATTAATTGAACAAAAATTAATTGGATAACCAACGGTCCACCTGGATTAATTTCTTAAGGTAGGGGTTATTGTATAGTCATAATCATTATTATGCTATATATATCTATATATACTATTATATAAATTAATCGAACACACAGTGGTTGTCAAAATGTCTTCTTCCAAAACCGAATTTATTCAAAGTACTAATAAACAAATGAAAAAAATAATGCATATATGCAAATACCTCAACATGTCAAGCATTGCTATTGCTAGGGGGTTCTGTCTATCTGCCTGTGAAACTGCTGGAACTGCTGGAATCTTGAAAACATTTGTCAAATCAGCAGTGTTCAAAACTCTCCGACATTCTATTCCTATGTGCTGACTGGTTAATAGAGTTTCCCATATTGGATTATCATAATTCCCAAGATATTCGGTAGCAGAATCCCTATAATATCCTATAATCATAAATCAACAGGGGGGCTTGAACATTGCTCAAATGTTGTCGACACTTCTTTAATTTTCTGTGTCTCATCTGTCTTGGACTTTGCCAAAACTGCTGGCGATTCTGGGAAGGGCTTCTTTTAAATTCCACCACTTGCCTGTCTAGTTGATGAATTCCACCCATCGCGAAAACAGTACGTACTCAATATACGTAGTGATTATTATCCCAGGTAGAGTGGGCAAACATAGTAAGACCTTTAAGAATAAACCAAGTGCAAAAAAGTTGAGCCTCCAACCTTGAGGCTCGATTAAAACCCTCACTTTTGTTGGTTGAACCCAGCTTGGCCAAGGTCTTAGTGGTTGATCAGCATTTTCTCATGGAAATTGCAAATTATTTTGGTAAAAAAGCACATGTTCGAATACCAAACCTTCAGAGTGTTGGTTCAGCATCCCATTTTACCCCAATACCCCCAACATTGTTGGTTTAATACTCCTTGATACCCCGTCTGTGAATGTTCAGACCATTATGGTTCAACACTGATTCAACACTCCACTTCAAAAGAGGCTTGGTCTAATTTTCAATATTTTAAAACCAATTGCCAATTACTACCAATGTATATTATATCTGGACAGTAGGTATATAGCCAAAAATCATCAAACAATGCTATATTTTGATGGGGAAACGTATGGTGAACCAGTGGATTGAAGTAATCTAAAATACCATGAATAGACTCATTGATGGTCGAATTTATACCAACATGTTTTCCTCCGGAGGAAAATAACGATATTAACATATTATATTAACATATTATATCAACATATTATATTAACATACGTATATTAACCACTGGATGTGGTTCACCCAAACGATTAAACCATATAGGTTCTGGTTGGTTTTATTAGCATCTTTTCAATCGAAAATAATGATCAACAAGATTTCGAAGCCATGGTCAACCACTGTGACCCGCAGTGCCAGCCAATGCCTCCGTCTGCAAAGTATGACCGTTGCCGAAGACGATCAAGCCTCTTCGGGCGCCTCAATGACCGACGCCTTTCTTTCAGCTTCCCCCCAACTTTTTGGATACTGGTATCTGGGTTCCTTGATGTAATGAATTGTATCGGTGAATATTGGTAAAGGCACTCATGTTCATTGCTTGAAGCCAAAAATTATATTGTTTCACACTATTTCGCATATTACTTGTGTGTGTGTGGGTGCTTGCACTTACCCATATGTTGGTGTACATCCTATTAAATCACTGTGGGCGTCCAACGATTCGTTGCTTGCTCTCCTCAAATGATTATTCATTTTTTGACATCTTGGCTCGTAGCCTACCGTAGAACAACCGGCGACTCAAGGCCGCCGTTTCGAAGCACTGTTGGGCCCCCCACGAGTGAGCATCACATTGGCTCGGCGAGGGTCTCGCATAAAACCCACCTGCTGGGTTCACTGGTACCCCAGTCAAACACCCCAGTCAAACACACAAAATTCAATTAATGAAACACCCCAGTCAAACACACAAAATTCAATTAATAAAACACCCCAGTCAAACACACAAAATTCAATTAATAAAACACCCCAGTCAAACACACAAAATTCAATTAATAAAACACCCCAGTCAAACACACAAAATTCAACTATATAATAAACATCAACAAAAATCAATAAAGTACATGGTGAATGACATGTTACATCCGAACTGCGAATGACATGTTCGTGATGTCCGTTCCCTTTTCCCCATGAACATCCCAACATCCACCTCAAAGAAGGAACGCACCTTGCTTCAGCAGGGCCAATGGCAACGTGGAACCGTGGAACCATCATCCAGCTGCTGATGGGCCGGATTCAAATGGGGTGTACCCCAATAATTGATTTATTAACTACTAACTGTTACTAACTACTATAACTACTATAACTATCTATAACTATCTATAACTATCTATAACTACTCAAGATAATCCAGAGCTTGTAGATTTGTATGTTGCAGGGCTAAAGCCGAGCCCATCATCCCTTTTTAAGAACCCAGCTGGAGCCACTTCTGAGCTTCGAACCGTGGAGGCCAAAATCAAATCTCGCTCTGCACCCTAGTCAAAAGGCGGATGGACATAGTTGGACCGCGACAAAAAATGCTCCGATGAGCGGCTTTGTGGCAGTCGACAACAGATTTCAATCAGTCAAAGTGTGAAATTCTTCAAGTTGGTGTACCCTGAATATCAATTGGGGTTTACCCACAAATAGTTAAATAGTGATAAATTACTAGTAATAATATTGGTGGTACATATGTTTTTTTTTTCAGTCCTTGGTTAATATTACAACCCGCAACTCCCACAACAAACAACTACCGTTGTTCCGGCCACTTCTGGAGTAGAATCTGAGACACTTTGGGTCAATTGCATCAGTCTTCAGGCAACCAATTCATGTCCAAATCCATATATACGGTACAAATCTGCAGTATCCAACATTCCCTATGGATCTAAGGACCTTCTTAGGAAGTACTTGGGGTATGATTTAGGGGTTAAGTACCTTCTCAGACAGTGACTGGATCCACAGGCATTAACTTAACTTAATACTGACTTACACTTCCGAGCAAACGATTGTTCGTGGGTAGAAGCCCCATGACGCAGGTGACGAGTTGATCCTTTACCTCGAGGCTATCGTGAAGATTCCACACAACTTGACACCCCAAGTCCCAACATATATTTTCCAATATCCCAAAAAATGAAGGTCCTTAGGTCATTGCTAACAGATCTAGTGCCGTTTGAAAAGGCACCATCCAGCAAATTCTGATGAAACTTATCCTTTTTGGTCCATCCCATGATCAGAGCCTGGAAACCATCCACTGTGTCCACCTAGGACGGAAAGTACAAGGGTCGACTTCGATTCTCTTTTAGGAGTTCTGCGCTTCATCAGAGTCAACCTCCATCAGGGGGTGGTTCGATATATATAAATATATTATATATATAATAATATATATAATTATATATATATATATATCATATTACATATTACCCCCTGCCATATCATCATATTGAACAGGAAGATCACATTCGGCTACTCAATAACTCGGCATTTTCTGGCCCCCCTCCCCTCAACAATTTTTAGGATAGTCAACTTAAGTAAGGATTTCAATTGACATCAATCTACTTTCAATTGATTTTCCTTTTGAACCCCAAAGAAACCTATTGATAAGAAAGGATTTCAATTGAAATCAATTTGCTTTCAATTCATTTGAATCTACGTTCACTTGATTTTCCTTTTAATCCAAATAAATAACCCAAACAGTTTTTGTGCACAATAGGGTACCATGGAACCAATTGCATTGTTGAGGATCTGGGTCACTCATGGGGTACCCCCTTGAAAAAATTGTTTGGGTGCTGTTTTTCAATAAGGGTTTAATAAGGAATCTAATTATTTGAGAAACCTTGCATTTTCAAGGCGTTAACATGGATATGGCTTTCTGAAGTAAATGGACCAGCTGTACCAAAAGAAAGGTGTGTAAAGGTGGATAAAGTTCCTCCTGGAAAAATTGGATCTGAGAAAAAACTTCTCACAATTGGGTTCTTTTCAAAGTGTTTGAAAATACTCAATATTGTTTGGGAATTGTCTCACAATAGAGATCCATTATTACAGTAGTCATAACCATCCCACAACTTAGACATAATGAATATACTGGATTGAGTATAATCCCATCCCCCTAATATTCAACACCCCCGCAAAAACCATGGTTTTAGTAGGGGATATCTACAGATCTAGCACCATCTAAACATGTGTTTCATATTAGGGGGATGGGATTAATCTTCCCATTCTTGATAGTTAAGTCTGATAAGTCCCTATAGGTCATGATTATATCCCATTAAATCCCCATAACATCACCACATATTGGATTATATTCCAAGATTTTTCCATCGATTTTTGATAGATGGTGTTTAATATTCTCTTCTTCTCTTCGAGTCGATTCCCATAGATATGTAAATTCCCCTACTAAAACACATAGATTTGGATAGATTTGTGGATTGCCCATAGATTTTCCCACCATAGATTTCCCCATAGAAATCTTCCCCATCCCCATCCCCCGTGTCCTGTGCCGCCCCACTCGCAGATCTTTCGCCTCAAAGCCCAACTGCGGCGCCAGGGCGGCCCAGTGTCGTCGCAGCAGATCCTGCAGGGAAGAAACCTGTGGGAAATATGGGATTAATAAGGGATCATATGTGTTAATATGGGTTAATATTGCAGTATATATATAATATAATATACTATAATATAATATAATATCATATAATATAATATAATATCATATAATATAATATAATATCATATAATATAATATAATATCATATAATATAATATAATATCATATAATAATAACATTATATATATATATATATGTGGATTATAAGCCACGGATCCTAAGTGGGATGCACCCCCAAGTAGCAGAAATACTTTCTGGTGCTCAACGTGGGGAATGGGGAATGGGATGCTTGATGCTTGTGAAACTTGTGGTCTGGATCATTATTCCCGCATTCATTCCCTACCTTTAGCACCAGTAAGAATAAGGATGATTCCTCTGGGTGAATATATAAAGATGATTCAAGTATGATTGAAGGATTTTGCAGGACGTTTTTGAGGAATACGTATAGGGATGTTTTGATGAACATGGGGATGTGACACTATGTGACCAAAGAAACAGGCTACAGATGGTTGCTAAGTTACATATTTGACCAAGAAGCAAGGCAATGTACGGGTAAGAAACAAAAGGTATACTGACCTTGCTGCGAAATGTCCAACCAAGAAACATGGGAATTTAACCCAGGGACCATGAAACAAAGGACATTCGACCAACGTCAAGTGGGGACTGAATCAGCATACATGGAAAATCAACCAGGAGAGTTCGATATCTAATCAGCAAACCGTTGGTATTTGACTCGAAAACGGAAATTGAGGGTTCATGCCAAAGCGACCCTAAGGATCAACATCTTTTGCACTCTGGCACCCGGGTCTTGAACCTTGACCCAGTGCATGCGACAACCTTATCCATCAACCGTGGTGGCAAATAAAAATGGGTTTGCGAGGACCACTACAGCGTGGGTTACCAACCCACTAGCAAGTCACTGTTGAGTGGCAAGAACGTCCATGTAGACCCCAGTGATTGCCAAATGTTACTGAGATGCTACTCAGAGGCTACTCTCTTGAGATTGCTTGGATTGTTGGACACAATCCAAGGTTCTTAATGATTTATGCCAAGTTGTTTCCCGTTTCTGGAATGACAGCATGTCTCATCCAAAATGCGGACAAACATCTTGAACATTCTTGAACAGATCTATCATGATCTATCCACCATTCAAAGTTCAAATCCCCGAGTCTTATTTCTTTAAACGGATATGCCAGGATACAGTACATTAAAGTCACCAATGGCCACCCGCCGGACCCCACGCCACCTGCTGGGCCGAGTATCCCGTGATAACACCAACCTGCCCCAACGCATCAAAGGTCCGACTTATTTAGAGGCACGTAACTTGATTGAGGAAGATATGAATTTGATTGAAAACTATAGGACAACCCTGAAATTTGACGGTAAATCACTGATTTCCTATTATATAAAATGCACTTTTGGGATTATGTGTCCTTTTTATACAAGGCAATGTTTCTTTGCACAGAAACCTTCGTCGTCTTAAAGGTCATGATACGGACAAGTCCCCGATTCCTGAACAGCTGCCTATATAACCCTTGCGACTGGCCTAATAACTGTGGTTTCCCAACAATTTGCCAACTGGGATGATCTGATGGTCATCAGAAAACACCACGGCAGGATGAACAGGCCATTCTTTTCCAAGTCAGGACGTTGCACACTATGATCACTATGATTGGTTGTGGACAACAATTTCATTGTCATCTACGACCAGGCTCTTACGCATTGTGAGGTGTTTGCAGTACTTGGAGGTTGGATAGAAAAAACCCTATCAATTGGTCAAGATCTAAGAGACTAAACCCAATGTTTGCATCAAAAAACATCTGATAATGGATGTAAGTCGTATGATTTTGATACACCGTGACGTCTCCTATAAACATCCCGGAATTGGACAGTCTGCAGGAAAAAAACACGTATATACTAGTAGACACAAACATTGTTTCCTGTGGATTTTCACATAAAACAAGACATTGAAAACTTAAGTAGGCTTCCATGTTTATATTATTGTAATTATTATATAGAATAATTATATAATATTATATATATAATATATACATATCCCCGTTATTTCAAAATGGCAACCATGTTGTTTATTTTTTGTTGGTCAAGTCCCGATTGTTGTTGGTGTTGTTGGCTAAATCAGGCCAAATCCATGATTTTATATGTGTTTATTGGCTAATCCACTTACGTTCTGGTAATCAAACGTGGCAATGGAGAATCTTCTATAAATGGGGGAGGTTTTGACAGGAAAATCATCTACAAATAGGGGAATTGTCACTTGCCACGTTTGATGACCGGAGGGTATCCAGACTTTCCCCTCAGCTCCCATGTCCGCCTGCTGTGGCAGTAAGCCCTGTCGAAGGCAATGCTCCAAAACCACCATCAAGGCGTCTGCCTGATGGGCTGATTCCGATGTACAATCCCTCCGGTAGGGTGAAGCATTGCGATTTATCACGGATGGGGTACTGGGGTACATGGAATTGGAATCACTATCATACGGGGGCAGAAAGTATCACTTCATGGTCATAGTTGCTTGTATAAATAGTGATCGCCCAGCTAACTGGGGTAAATGATATCCGGGATGCCGAGGATGAACATCTTGGCGGATGAGTGTGCTGACACTGCGAAGGGATCATGGCTTTGGACCCATATCTCTGGCTCTTCCCATTGCAATCGTATGGGCATATAATTGAATTTGAAACCATTACAATTACCATATGCAAAAAGTGATGTCAAGAAAAACCACAGAATGAGTCATGAGCACGTACAAAACCATGTCTCACGTTTAGTTTGAAGCCACAAATTCCTGCCGCCCATTTGGGACCAGAATCTGTAAATTTTCTGTGCTGATGCTGATTGATTGCACCTGTCATGTCACCAAGAATAACAAATACAACAAAACTCTGAAACCAGCTTACTATAATACTAGGAACTAATAAAGAAGAAACACAACTCCTCCTTTGGACACTTAAGTTTGATGTGAGACCCGGAATTGACGGAGGAAGATACTTGTGATGGTGCTTGTCCTGGTCCACAAAGTCTCGGGGTCTACCAGATCTGCATACAACACAACGACATCAAAGGAAGCAGTAAAAACAACCCAATTCCGTGCGACACATCTTTGCATCCTCTAGTCTATACAATTCTACCAACCCCATATAATGAATGTAAATTCTACCAGCTATCTATATATACTTCTACATATACATATACATATACATCCACATGTACATATATATATATATTATTATAATTTCCTGTTCCAGTTCGAAACTGAATAAAAACCAGACAACCTGACATTTCCTGCATGTCACCCGCTTGGGCCTCTCTCGGATTGGCGTGGCTTCGCCCACCCTCCTGGACCCATAAAAGTTACCCCCTGGCTATTTGTAGGGGATTCCCCGTGGAATTGCTTGTTCAGGCAAAACATCAGCATCATATATATATATAGAGTTATATATATATATATATATAGCTATATATATATACATATTACTATTATATATTTATTACTATTTTATATAATATAATAATATAATAAAAATAATAATATATATATATATATATGTACACATGTATATTACTATTTCTACTACCTCAAGTGTTGACCCCACGTTTCTGCGCCATTCTCCTCACCAGCCATTGCACCACATTCCACGAACGCAACGTGCAACTCTGGATTTGGCCAGGGAAACCTGGTCGGCTCAAAACGCAGGAAAGATCCGGAAACTCTTCTGATATGATTGGGATAGTTTGGAACGGGGATACTTCATGTGATATGTAACCAACTATGATGTCTGGGTGTGTCTGAAGATGTGGTGTATGTGCAGCTTTGATTGGGGAATTTGACGATATAATATAGTATCTAAATCTGAGGGCAAGCCCTGGTTTCAGACTATTTTGGGATTGGCGGGGTCAGTTACATGTAAATTTGATATCATTATAGCAGGCATTGTTGTTGACCTAAGTTCTGAGGGGCACATAAAAAAACAGAATCCGAAGCTGATGTTCATGTTATATAGGATATTAACCCTGCAGGGGCTGATATCAATGATAGTTTCAGCTGGAAATAGATCTGTATAAATGGTTGAAACTTGAAAAACTTGAATGACTGGAACGGTACCAGAAACTGCTTGTTCAGGCAGTCTTCAGCGTAGCTTTTGTCAACTCCAAGTTCATCCTCGTCAATTGCACGGCAAAAGGTGCTTAAACAAATCACAAACTCGTTCTAAACTTGTGGCACCTGATTTCATCATCACTGCCGTTACCCTCTGGTGAACTAACATAGCAATTGAAAATGACCCAGTCGAAATAGTGGATTTTCCCATTAAAAATGGTGGATCTTTCCATTGCAAACTGTTAGTTCACCAGAGGGTACATGAATTTCCCATCGAAACCTCCGTTTTTGCGGCAACTGATCATCTGCGGCTCCCCACCCTTGGATTTTCTGCCGCAGCAATGTGTCCGGCCCATTGGACAAGGTCCCATCATAGAAACTGCGCGAAGGGAACCTGGCGGACCCCAACTGACCCCAAGCGACCGACCATTTATGGCAGTGTGAAACCATGAAAATCTGTGAAATTAAGAGGAATATGAGGTTTTTAACCAATGTATTGAATGGGGTTCTCCAATAGTTTTCAGACAAACCCAGTCATACTTCCATGCTTAGATATCTATTCAAAACAGACTAATTGCACTAGAATATAACACCCATCCCAATATATCCACACAACCTAACCTGGTTGGTGGTTTTAACCCATCGCAAAAATATGCTCATCTCAAACAATCATCCCTGTGGTTGGAAAAACTAGAAGTGTTTCAACCCTCCAGCCAGTTTAGTATATCAGTTATACATATACACCATTAATATTCCATGAGTATTCCGTTAGTATTCCATTAGTATTCATTACAATTATAACTGTCCCTCTCATGGAATATGTTCACATGCAAGATGTTCAAATAGAATACATTCATGGTGTATATGAAGGATAGGCGAACGTTTGGGCCACCTTTCATCATTGCCCCTTTCCGTTGGAAACTGCAGCCAGTTGGACTCAGCAATGCTGGGATGCATGCGTTGCTGCTCATCCAGCTGGACCAAGCCGTTGTCTCAAGGGCGGCACCAGGATGAACTCGTTGGATATCATGATATTGGATGCACATAATAATAACATAACATAACATAATATAACATAATATAATATAATAAAATATAATATAATATAATACAATATAATATAATATAATATATATTATATGCAAGTGCTAGAGGTGCCCTTGATGGTGAATCCGTCCCAAGATGAAGCACTGGCAACTCAAACGATGGCTCAAAAAAGGATCAGGCAAAAGCGTGACACTACAACTGGCCTTTTGTTCTCGAACCTCACTTCACTGCGAATGAACGAGCTGACTGGTGAATCTGCAGCAAGTATTGTACTTGCATTGGTCCCGCTCCCCAAAGGCAACTGTTTTAGTTAAGGAGACCCAAAAAAAAACAACAGGAAATCAGTTTTCCTCTTTGCACTTGTGTTGTATGTCAGTCGTGTGTTCTTCCTCCAAAATGTCCATGCCGGTTTGTTTCCTTTTCCTGGCTGATCTCATTTGGCTGTCACTGACGATCCGCCATCTATGCCCTAACTGGTAGAACATCTCTATCTCCTTCCCGGTTGCCTTAGTGAGCGAATTGCCCATCTGGGCCTCACTATGTACCCACCTCAAATTGAGGTGGTTCACCCTCTGAGAGTGTTTCACGCACATCAGCTCCAAGTCTGTGCGCCGCTCGGCGCCTTTTGTCGACAACTCTTCGGTCTGCAGCTTGTCATAGACGTTCCGTGAGTCTGAAATCAAAGTTCCTGCCACAGAGTTCACGGCTTGGTCCACATCGAAAACATTCGTGCCCTCTGGCCTGTGGATCTCTCCCCATTGGTGCCGTGCATGGTACAACATGTCCTCACCGTTTACCACGGCAATGGCCTCTGCGGCCCCTGGGCTCCTGGTTACTCTATCTATCTTATTAGAGTGCCATGAGATTGGGGTTATTTTCTCCACACTACCCTCCAAAAGGCTAAGTGGTCCTATCTCCTGCTGCATCTGCCCACATGAAAAACCCCATGTCGGTGTCCTCTGGAAAATGGTGTACCAAGAGACAGTGGTCCTGGCGCTTCTTGGCTGAGTAGATCAGCCTGTTGGTCCTCAGCAGTGTCTCCACCGTGCTCACTTTCACCTCAGAAAGCAAGAGGCCCACCTCGGCTGATATGTGGGGCGCCACCTGTTGCGCATGCCAGCTTAACGCCCCTAAGGCTCCCCTGAGCTGGGTTTGTTCATGTTCAGTTGTTTTGGCATTTCGTTCTTTGCGCCTTGACGCATTGACTGGTATTTCCTTGACCTTTTCCATGTACTGTGGCTGGGACAACCGATAGCTGTTGTCAGGCATTTCCTCTATTTGCACTCCACACTGAACAAACTTTTTCTCTTGCCACTCTCCCCAAGAATATTCTTGTTGGATTGCTTTCAAAATGCCTTCCCATTCCGCATCATTTCGGGGTCCCGTAAACAGAAAGTCATCAACATGGCAACTGATTATACCCCTCAATTGACCCTGTGGTTTCCACACCCAGAGGCATGGATCTGACCATGTTTTCTGCAAGCCAAGTCGCTCAAGAAACTGGGAGATACTACGGTACCATTCCAAGGGTGCGTCAACCAGTCCATAACATCCCTTTTTTACCTTGGTAATAGTCCCCTCTTCAACTCCCATAGCTTCACAAATCTCTTTGCAGGGGATACAAAACAATTCCCCCGGGTACTCTCTTCCCTGTAAAAAGGCCCCAGAAACGTCCCCTTTTTGGGTCAGCCACTTCCGGTTGGCTGCGATCTGCAAAAGAAACTGGCGACTCTGTCGAGTCATGACCGGTGTGGTGGTGCCTCGGTGTTCGTACCCCGGGTCCTGGTATCCAAGCAAGATGGCTCTCGCCTTGGCTTTCTGTGTTCCGTCTTCCTTGAGTTTCCAGCTCAATATCCACCTCATACCTATTGCCTTTTCTTTTGGGGGTCTCATTTCAGGGGGAACAAGTTCAAAGGCTTTTGCGGCAATAAAGTTCTTAACCTCTACTGCCTTTGCCGCCCTGAATTTCTCTTTGGATTCTTCATCCAATCTTTTCTCACTGACTTCAGCAGCCCTTCTTTTCATGGCTCCTACAAAGTATCCATACATGTCCCTAGTCATGTCTTTCCAACCCCGATTGGTGCTAGGCATGTCTATGGCTACTTCTATGGCCATGTCGGGATTTTCCCATTTCTCCTGGGCCTCCTGCTCCGGCTCCTGGAACTCCACGTGTGACCACCAAGCCTCGGCCTGCAAGTCCTCATCCATGTGGTTCCTGGCTGCTGGAGGCGGTCTGCTCCTTAGCTGTTGCTCAGGATTCTCGGTGTCTACTGGTCTCTTCCACCTGTGGCGCACCTGAGGTGGTACTTCCGGTGTGTTCCTAGGTTCCAACTCCATCTCTTCCACAACTGATGGTTTGTCGTTTGGTGTCTCTTGACTGATGTCCTCATACTCTTGTCCACCTAGCTGTTGAACCATCCTAGGAAGAGTCCAAGGTGCTTGCTGTTCTTCGTCCTTACTTAGGTGCTCTAGCAATTCTTCTCTCTGAGTGGCATGTCTCAACTGCTCTGGCGCACACTTCAGTAAGCGACGTCCTCGAATCACCCAAACTGCGCTGCCTTTGCGCAACTGTCCATCCGGTTCTCGTTTTGTTTCAGTTACCAACACTCGTGCCGGCCCCAAATAACCCCCCATTTTCGTGGGTCCCATACTTTTGGGTAATTGCTTACGCCAATAGTACACAAGATCCCCTGGTCTGAAATCCCGGTTTTCCTGGCTCCTTGAATTGAGCGCTCGCTTGATGCGCTCTCGGGCATTCCACTCGGAGTGTGCCTGCTCAGCCACTTTCATCTTCTCGACGGTGTCCTCAAACTCGCCCGTCGGGTTGCCAACCACTAGATCGTGTGCTCGCCCATCCAGACTGTGTATGAACCGTCCAGTGGCGTCTGGTGCAATTCCCATGGCGTGCTGCACTGGTGAATATCCTCTCACCAGCTCTCGGTGATTGAAAACCTGAACAGCTGTACTAAGGGCTTCCTCAGCCGAAATTGTCGGTTGCTCACTGGCCAACTTATTCATGACTTCTTTCAACCCCTGGACTGCCTGCTCGCAGATTCCAAACTTCCAGTGTGCTTCGGCAGGCACAAAATCCAGGTATATTGAGTTTTTGTCACAGTAAGTTTCTACTTCGTTTGACCTGAATGCACCTGCCGGGTCCAGTCTCAAAACCTGAGGTTGTCCAAAGTACTGCACCCAGCCTTCCTGGAAGTAAGAGAGGAATTGCGCAGCGTTCATCGTTTGCTTTTTCCCTCTACTTAGGATCCGCGCCGTCCTAAACCTGGTGCCTTCGTCGATGATCACCGCGAAACCTACTGTTTGTTGGGTTTCAGGGTGGGTCCAGTTTCCTCCATCGGCGCACGCGGTTGCCCATTTAGGAGGGAGGGGTTCTAAGCTTGCGACCTGCCTGGGTTGCAACTTTTGTTTTTCCTCGCAAACCTGACATTTGAACCTCCTTGCCTCTTCCATCACCTGGGCAGACACACCTCGCTTTTGTAACGCGTCAATCATGTTGCGCGTGCTGCTGTGTCCCGTGGCCGCGTGCAAAAGATACAGTTGTCTTTGGATGCGCTTCCTTTCGGTGTCGCTCGCGGTTTCAGTTTCCCCCGCGTAGACCCTTCCTACCGCGTCCTCAGTGTCCGTCCGTCCAGTCAAGTCCACGGTCGTTTCAAGTGAACAGCTTCCACATGTGAGTTGGGTTTCATGATGCTGCAAGTCAGAACAAACACAGGCATGGCCGTTTCCAAAGTGTTTTGGCAGTCTGCTCTCTCCATTCAGTTCTTCCATCCACTGCTGCCTAGACATCTCATACCTGATAGCCTCTACAAAACGTTTGACATATTCCATGGTGTAGTATGCCGTTTTCCGTGTATCGTTTCCTTCACATGTGGCATGACGAAAACCCTTCTGACATCTACATGGCATGTGCATCATGTCAGCAACTCGTTTGTGTGTTGTCATCAGTTTCCAACCTTTCTTCATCAACTGTCCGTCTCCGTTTCTAAGGTTGACTTGACATCCATGAGTGGTGGCGACATACAAGCTGTATTTTTCCATAAGTCTTTGTATCATTGGGAGTCTCCATGCTTGGCACTTCTCAGCCCACTCCCACGTGACATGTATACCCATTTGGATACAAAACTGAAAGATGCAGCTGGCTCCTACGTACTGTTTCAGGGCAGCCCGTCGTTTCTGCTCCAGTTCTTGTTTCTGGGCTGCCGTCTTTTGGTTCAGATTCTGCATTGGAGAGTATGGCCCACACTCCGGTGAAATATGAACATGTTTGGGGTGTTTCTCTTGAATGATACCCATAATCAGCTTCACCCCTTCTCCAGTTCCCAAATCACATCCGTTCCAAAAGGAACAGCGCACCGCGGCATCTTCGCGCCCGGCCTCTCGCTGAATCTGAGCTGACAACCTACTCTCTGGACTGCAGGCTATTTCAACCAAGTGAACACCACTGTCACCCTTCAAACCCTCAAAAGCATTTGCTGCTATGTCCTGAGAGATGTGATGAAAATGCCTCATAGCCGCTGGGGTAAGGACTTTGCCTACCTTACCCTCTTGTGGGGCATGCTGTTGTTCCAGCGATTGGCCTTCTGTGCTACTGACTTGAAACCCTGGCTCTTGGCCCCCATCTACTTCGGTTCTCCGTTCACTGCTGACCAGGAGTCCTGCATCTCGCTCTCCTCGTCCTTGGACTTCTTGTGGGCCCGTCCTCGGAGCTCGTCCATCTCTTCCTGCATGTTCTCCATCTGTGTCATGATCTTCGTCATGGCTCCCAGAAGCACAGCTGTGTCGTTCGAACCAGCTGACCCTTGGGAGCTGGCGGCTCGTGGGGCCGCTTTCACCTTCGGCTCCGGCTTGTAGTTGTTTCCCTGTCTGTGTGTGGGATTGCCCATCTGGTCTGGGTTCTGCTCGAGCCAATTGGCCAGGCGGCTCAGCCGATGGCTGCACTGCCCCTCCTGGGCCGTGGCTACAACCCACTGGCAGTACTCCACTTGGCTCTGGGCAATCTCCCCATATGACATGGCCGAGTGCGTCCCGAAGCCCACCGGGTCGCTGGCATCCGCCTTGCTCTGCATGTAGATGCGATCCATGGCCCCTTTCTGCAGCTGTGTGATGGTGCTGTTGGACACATTGCTCATGCCCAGCTCCTCGCAGAACTGCTGTAGATTCGCCTTCTTGGTGGACGCCTTGTTGAGGGCCCGGGTCATCTGCTGCAGAGGCGTGACTTGGCGCTTCTGACTGCTGACTCCCAACTCTTGCTCCAACTCGAGCAGTCGGACCTTCAGTTCTGTGAGCCCCCACTTGGCTGGAGGTTCTTCGCCCAGATCCCGCAAGGCGTTCTGGTACTCCAGCTTGGTCTTGGGTGCCATGAGTGGTGTCAAAGGACGGTCGGCTACTGCTACTGTCTTCTACTCCTTGAGACGGTGGGCTACCAACTACAGCTTTTCCTTCACACTCCAACTGTGTTCTGTATGTGGTGTGCACGCTGCAAGTCAGCAAAACTGATTTCTCATCCCTATTAACACCTTGATCACCTTGACCCTTCACTTCAAAACTTCTCTCTGACTGTTGCCCTTGAGTTGACTCTACCTCCCCTACCTGCTGCTGATCTAGGCCCTCTCTTTCTTTGGCAGGCTCCAAAGAAGAGAGGTGTTGTCCCTAGCAAAAGGCTAACAGGCTGGGAATGCGTTGTTTGCACTCCTGAGCCTGGGCAAGCAAGTCCTCAGTCAGAGGTAGAAGTTGATGTCCGGCAGCCGAGCGCTCCAGCTTCACCAGCTTGCGGTCATCCAAGTTGCGGAAGACTGCCACATCGTTGGCGAAGTCTATGATCGCACCCAGCGACCTCAGGGTCGAGATGGAGATCAAAACTGGTCCACTTCCTTCGTCAAGGGCGTGAACTTTCAACACGCCTGGCTTCTGGTTGGCGCTCACTTCCAGGTGGGCGGTCGACACACAAGTACCTCTGGAAGAGTTGCCAAAACCAAAGGTAGGTGTCTCACTGGTGTCTACCTCAGCCAAGCCAGTGCGTCCCTTCTTCTTTGCATTGATGTCCATGACCTTCTCAATCGCATGGACCGATCCCAAAGTTCGGGTTGCCCCTCCATCGATCACTCCCAGGCCACAGTTGATGGCCTCTTGGGTACTCTTCAGGCTGCTTCCTTGGTAGTAGTCCTTGTCCTCGCCATAGTCTGCTTCATTGTAGCAGATGAATGGTGCCTCCTCCAGCTGGTTGGCCTGATCTCCACTTCTTGGGCCCTGCTTGTCTGGGCATTGGCCGGTGCGATGCGATCCACCGCATCGGAGACAGGTTGTCCTGTCGTTGCTGCCTCCGGCTGAGTGTGTTCCTTTGCCACCTTTCTCCCATGACCTTGGCTTCCAAGTCGTGGTTCGATAGTATTGCCGAGACATCTTGACTTGATGCTGCTTTGCTCTGGCCTCCCGGAGCGTTCGCTTCCCATTCTGAATGGCGGTCCAGGCCATCTCGGCCTCGGACACGGCTTCACCCATCACGGTGAGGCCTTCTTCGTTCATGCCCTCTTGGACCAACTCCTCATAGGTGTAGGCCATCGGATCTTCTTCTTCTTCTCCTAAGAGGGCATCTTCAGCTGCCCACATCCCGGACTGCCGTGTCCCCTGATCTCTCTTCTTCAGCTCCTCCTCCGGCCACTGACTTCTGAGTTCTTGGGCCACTCGCACCAACCCATAGTTGCCACGAATGGCTGTCTGGATCAGGTTCCTCTCGTTGGCGTCTAAGGACGCGTCCTGTAGCAGGTACCAACCCTGCAGGAAGTCAGGGAGCAATTCCCGACTCTGAGTGAGCCAATCCTCATTCTCCACGCTCCGGGCATAGGTGTTCTCATAGGCATAGTTCGAGCTCCACCACCGAGACCTCGCCCAAGGATCGTCATCTTCTTCTGCGTGTTCTGACCCTCTGGCGGCCTCTGGCTGGTCCCGCGGTGAGGTGAATTCTTCACCTTCGTCCTCCTCCGTCGGTGTTTCATGCCACGTGGACCAATCCCCAGCACGGCTGCTCCAGTCCTGGCTGGACCAACTTTGCTGTGGTCTCTGTTGTCTCTGGCCACCAAACTGGTCCTCCACTCGTCCTAGAGCCTGTCTGGCTCGGACGTAGGCCTCTGTCTTCCTGGTGATGTAGTCGTTCATCGACTCTTGCCGTCGGCGTCGTGTGTTCTTGAAGTACTTGTTCAAGTGGTCAGTCATGTCGCTGATCTTGGGCCGGCCAAGGGACTGTCTCAAGTGGCCAAGTAGGTGTGTCACACCCCCATCGTATGACACCCAGTCTGGCCTCTTGCACACTATGAACTTCCGGGCTGTCCCGGAGAGTTCACCAATCAACCTTGGCCCGCACAAGTACCGTTTGTGCCACGGTATGCCCTGTTCCCACTGGAGACATACCTCTTCATACTGCTGAAAGCTGGATGCTTCCCCATTCCAGCTTGGCACTCCATCTTTAGACCGTTCAATGGTCCCCTCTAGACTCGTCATTCCAACACTGGTTTCACGAGTGTCGGCCTCCCTGGATCTCTTTCAACTGCCCCTTTTCAGAGGCTACCATGCAAGTGCTAGAGGTGCCCTTGATGGTGAATCCGTCCCAAGATGAAGCACTGGCAACTCAAACGATGGCTCAAAAAAGGATCAGGCAAAAGCGTGACACTACAACTGGCCTTTTGTTCTCGAACCTCACTTCACTGCGAATGAACGAGCTGACTGGTGAATCTGCAGCAAGTATTGTACTTGCATTATATATATATATATTATACATATGGTTTCCATAAATTGGGGTACCCCAATAGCTGGATGCTTTGGAATGGAAAATCATATTGAAATGGATGATTTGGGGGTACCCTATTTTAAGAACACCCCCCATATGTATATATATATATATATATGTCCAACTATTTGTTAGTTATACTAAGTTAGTAATAACAATAGTTACGGTAGCTGTAGTATGTAATATTGCCCATGAAATGGGACAAGCCAGCAAACCAATAGTTGATATAAGTGGTACTATTATATGCTGGCTTGTAATATAAGTGGCTTAGTGAGCTAGCTTAGATGGTGCTGTCCTCCTAAACATGGCTAATTTGATGGGATATACCTACTCCAGGGTAAACTACTATAACTATACGTACTAGTAGATGTGAAAAATCAATGAATTCCACAGGAAAATGATCTACAAATGGTGGGTTTTCCACATCTATCATCTATGTTATTTTACAGGAAGGTAACCGGTTAGATTTCTATAGAAGTGATTAGTTACTGAGATTCTTCGATGGTCCCGTCCTCCGAGGAAAGTACGAATACGAATCTTCCCTCAACTCAAATATTCCGCTATAACAGGCTATAACATTTAAATATATTTAAATACATGTTCAAACGACCCTCTGTAAAATCTCTTGGATCTATTTTGGAGATACATACGGGCGAAGTAATAATCAAGGGACTCTTCCCAGGCAGGATGGAAACTGGAAACAGTGGATTTGAAACCACAATACTTCAACATCGATCTACAAACCCAGCATGTAGTGAAACTTGAAATCACATGAGGTTGCTATTTATACTGTGAATCATTACGTATATTTATGTTATAAACTCTACAGAGAGGTTCTCAAGAAAGACTGGATGAATATTGGAATAACCAAAAGAACTGAATCTCAGCAAACCACAACAAACAATGACATAAATCACCAGCAAACACTGAATTGGCGTCCAAAATGACAGGTTATCAGTACCAGGTCATGTACAGTTGAAATTGCGATTGCCACTGGACAGTTCAAACACACCAATAGATAGAACAACCAGCCACTTTTGGAAGGGAGATGAGATCTTCAAACCGGACTCGCGGTTGCACAATAGACCATCTGCCTTCCTAGTGTACCAGCCATGAACACTCTATTGAGCGTTGCATCCAATTTTACAACAAGCAGTCCCTAACAAAACATCTGAACTGGCACTCAGCTACCAAATGGCCAAGCACCTTATTATGGAAAAGATGTTCGACATCATAAAACCGGCTGCAAGTTGGTAGAATCATTAGCGGCGCGTGTGTCGCTTACAACCGATATGATCGAAGGAAGTTTAGATGTCAAACTTCCGACAATATGGACAGATGAAAAGCAGAGATGGGAAGAGTCAGAGAGAAGAGAAGAGTAGAAGAGAGAAGATGAGAGAAGAGAAAGAGTCAGAAGAAAGAAGATGGAGATGCGCGAAAAGGTAGGAAAGTCGCGAAACACTGTGTTTTTCGAATGATTTGTGGCTCCGGAGGGTCGAAAAGTAGGCTCGCTAAAGCGGCGGGTGCGGAGCCATCTGGCCAGATGAGAGATGAAAAAGTGCACGCCGTTGTGGCGCGAAGCACATTTCGAAGTCAAAATGTACAAAGCACGACATGTTCGCGCCACTTTTGGACGTTCAGATGCCGTTTGTGCGTGGCAGGTGCAAGGGACTGTGCACCTTCTCAAAAGTGAGTAAAACGTGAGGGCTTTGTAGCATTTCCTAAAACGATGGCAGGCGTGGGACAGTTGAAGAGGATCTGCAAAGATGCATGTCGCGTGGCAGGCGCAGTACAAAAGACATAATCGTCAGAGCTGTTCGGAAGTCAGGGCGCTGATTTCCTGAGATGGGCTGCATTTTGGAACATCAGATCTGTAGGTTTGCTAAGATGATTTTGCGTGACAGGTGCAGCACTTCGTATGACCTGTCCTCAATTTTTCATGGCAGGCGCAGTACTTTAGACAGGTGGAGTGGAAAAATCGCAAAACGCATTGGCACGAGGCTGTCAGCGTTGCACTCAACTTTCCATTTTTGAAGGAAGTCTCGCCGAATTGCTTTGTTCTTGATGTTGTCAAGTTCAAAAATTAAAGAAGTCTGGCAGAATTGCTGCGTTTTGGATGTTGTCAAGTTCAAAAATTGAAGAAGTCTCGCAGAATTGCTTCGTTTTGGGTGTTGTCAACTTTGAAAAATGAAGAAGTCTGGCAGAATTGCTGCGTTTTTGACGTTGTCAAGTTCAAACAATGAGGAAGTCTCGCAGACTTGCTTCGTTTTTGATGTTGTCAACTTTGAAAATGAAGAAGTCTTGCAAAATAGCTTGGTTTTCAAGCTTGCAGATAGACAGGTAGGTAGATAGACAAGCACACAGGCAGACAGATAGTTAGATAGATAGGTAGATAGATAGCTAGATAGCTAGATAGCTAGAAAGATAGATAGATAGATAGATAGATAGATAGATTTATATATATATATATATAAAGATAGAGAGATAGAGAGATAGAGAGAGATAGACAGATAGATGCATGGATAGATAGATAGATAGATGGATAGATACATAGATAGATAGACAGATAGATAGACAGAT